ATAAATAAGTAAAGTAAATGAGGTTTAGAAACTCAAACTTAGTATTTAATTAGAGAATATGCTTAGTAATACCGTATACTCGTATACGGCGTATACGGAAATTTTTTACTCATGGTATACGCATACGCGCGTAAATATACGCCCGTATTTTCAGCTAAAAATTTCTCTTACGATACGGTGCGTAAGCGTATACGCTGCAGGCGTATCCGTAAATTACGCTACGGTGCGGAGCACTACGCGACACCCCACAAGAAATTCAGTTGGAGGCAAAAGCTTTAAAAGTATGTATGGCGACATCTCGCTGCCACTGAACCTTTCAAGGCTATAGCATGTGAATCGCGCCATACGTTGGGTGCATCATTCAAATGGGATCAATAGGATCCCCACTTGCAACATAGGAGAACTGTAGGTACCATCTCATGCTATATTCGTCGTACGCGTTCATATCTTTTGATAGCAAAAATATCGCGCTTCGTCACCTCTAATTGATGGTGCAGCGCCCATAAGGAAGCGAACTCCGAGCATGCATACTATCGATGACCATGTCGGATGCAGTCGAAGCTCGACGGCATGATTATCTCGTATCGGTATATCTGGCGCGAGGCAAAGTATTTTTATTTGTTGTTTCGCTCTTTCGCGTTCTGCATTTAGTCTTGTTAACCATCAGCCCGATTTGAATGAGTCTTTAAGGACATTGGGCACGCCTACATGCAGCCATTTTAATCGCTAGCTCGCGTAAAAGTAATTCTAAGCCGGCCGAATTTTTGCGGTAGTCATTTTACTTGATAGTCATTCAACTGTCTAGGTCTCTGAGTCTCCATAATTTGCAGTTTTGGGATAGACCTAAGATTCTCGTCTCATGGATGTGGCTATCTTTCCCTTTGGGGGCCAGCCGTTTGCCGCCAAAGTAGAACCCGAAGTTCTCTTTAAAATCAATGATACATTTAGCATCACGCATTCATCTTCTGCAATCGGTCGGCTTTCTTGTTGCCGTAAATCTTAGACTTTATTTCTGTTTGCTATTCTCTGTTTCCATGGCTCTATTATTCATAGAGAATTACTCTAACGGACCGGCATAAGAACTGCTCAAAGGTGGTCATCTTGTGATGCGGCTTTCCAATGGGTACTTTGTACAGCGTCGCATATTTTCGAAGTGGGGATCGCCTATTGCACAGTATGATTCGTTTGGGGGTCATTTTTAACCTGTATGTGTTTTCCGTCCCTTGGTGCCAACAACTGTTGACCGTCAATTAAATGACTGACAGACTGAATATGACGAATAGATGACGTAAGATTGTAGGCCAGAAATCGCGTAATGGCGATCTCATCACTCGAACGCTTCAAATTGTGCAATCTTGAAGTAAGTTCAATGGCGACTCTGTTATTGAGTGTAATTGGGCTTAAGTTCGCATCGCGGTGGAGCGGCTGAACATATTCGACTGGAATTGGCCTATGACCCACAGGTTCTTACAGGGAAGGACCAGCGCACCTCCGTTGGTACCGCAACATTAGAGCTGGGCGCCCGTAGCTAGGCAGCTGGAGTCTAATTGGGTATGTTGCGTCAGTGCTTCTAATTAAGTACCCAAGCAATCATCAGCCTCCGGCCAACGTCGGCATCGTGTGTTAGCACACGCAAATCTAGCCTCATTAAAGACTTTGGCTGCCCGCATTTTGCAAGATGCGCCCTATAGGACACTAATCCCTATTAGGTATCGAGGGGACACGAGTCGGTGAAGGCCCTGAAAGGTCTACTACAACTATGGACGGACTCAACAACACAAGTAAGCTTCATGAATAGAAAGACCAACGTCTGTTGCTTGTTTGGTACACATGGACTGAGAGGGCGCTCCCCTCAGATATGATTACGGAGATATTGTTGGTTTCCGGTGAGGTTCGGATAACTGGAACGGCTCTGTTTTAACCCATGCATTCAGATAGGAGAGCCTCACGCCCGTTCTGACTTCGAGACGCTCATGATCGTTGGGGAATCCATTTTCTTACCGAGGATCACTGCCCATGGCAGGGAACAACTTGTTGATAGTTGCCGGAATCCCAGGCACCACCCACTAATATAAAGGTGTCCAGTCGAGAGACAGCACACAACTAACAACGCTTGCCCTAACCTGTTTTTCAATATGTTTCTCGCATGGGATGTTGCTGCTGCGTGCTTAGCTGCCGCTGCTGCCATTTTAGTGATCAAGAAGCGTAACGATGCGTTACTGAGACTACCTCCTGGACCACAACCTGAGATTCTGTTTGGGAACGCAAGACAATTGCCGTCGTCTAGATCATGGGAAGTATATACTAAATGGAAACAGATTTACGGTTTGCACCCTATTCCGCTGCCTAATGTGTACTGGTTTTGACTAACTATGTACAGGCGACGTTGTTTATGCTCGAGTCTTCGGTCGCTCAGTTGTCATTCTCAACTCCATCACAGCAGCTCGTGATTTGCTGGAACAGAAGGGTAGAACATTTCTTGACCGGCCGTCCTTTCATGCTTTCCACATGTTCGTATTCTTTGATTTCATTGCGCGCGAAGCTAATTTACCCGCGTATCAGGATGGGATGGGGACATACCCTTCAAGTCCTGCCCCACGGACCGCGACTTAAGAAATATCGTCGTATCATGCATCAATATTTAGGACCTCAAGGACTTATGGCAATTAGACCTATGCAAGAGCATGAAATTCGTAAATTCCTTCGTCGCTTATTGGACGAACCGGACAACTTTAAGAGGCATATACACAAGTGGGATGATTTGTCTTCATGAGAAACTTCAGCTGACTTTTCCCAAGCTTCATTGCAGGGATTGTCCTGTCTATCGTGTATGGACATGAAGTAGTGTCCGACGACGATGCACTAGCACGACTTATCGAACGTGCAGTGCACAAGACAGGAGAATTTGGTAATTTTGGGACAACGTTCTTTGATATTTTTCCGTTCTGTGAGTACTTGAGACTGTTCGTTTCTGACTCTGTTGTTGACGTTTTGCAGTACGATATGTGCCCGCTTGGTTCCCTGGGATGAAGGCAAGACGGGTGATAAACGAAATTCGTGAGCTTGTGGACTCTGTTATAACAGAGCCCCTAAAAGAGCTAAAGCAGTTGAGGGTTCGCGTTTCATCCTCGTGTAATCTACAGCGAATATTGACATAACGTGCGAAAACGGAAAACATAGGCTTTAGGCACCGTCAAACCATGCATGTTATCTGATCTGCTAGACAATCACGACGAGATGGATGTATCTGACCTCGAACATGAACAAGATATCATGAACATCGGCTTGTCAATTTACAGTGGTGAGCATCAATGTTTTGTACAAGCACTAGCGTTGTTAATCGGTTCATTTAGCCGGAGAAGATACGGTTCGTGATATAGTTGACCAGTATTTTATACTTTTCTTGCTTATTCCGGCTTATTCCGTTTGGATTGACTAGACAAAGTCATTACTTATCGGATTCTTCTTGCTCATGACCCTCCATCCTGAGGTTGCAAAGAAGGCCCAGCAAGACATTGACCAGGTCACTGGTAAAGACCGCTTGCCTACCCCCGACGATAGGAAGCATCTGCCGTATATCGACTGCATACTGAAGGAACTATATCGGTACGTACATCGACGCAGTCAGACAGTTGAAAATGATTTAACGTAACATCCGCAGGCTTCTTCCACCGAATCCTATCGGTACGTATACATTTCCGGACATTATTAATTATATTCAAACCAAATCGTAGGCGTTCCCCACACATCCATGGAAGTTGAACACTATCGCGACTGGATACTTCCTGAAGGAACGATGGCGCTTCCAAATATATGGTAGGAACCTCTGTATTACGTATGTATTCTCGATTTTGCTAATTACGATCGATAGGATAATGATGCAAGATCCGACCGTATTTCCGAATCCAAGTGCCTTTCTTCCAGAACGTCACATGGAGAAGGTGAAAGCAAACCTCAAACAAACGAAGTCAAACAAAATTGCGAACGATGACACGGAGGACATCGCATTCGTTGCAGCGGATGACCCAAGCACTCTCGTATTCGGATTTGGGAGAAGGTGAAAAGCCATTCTTGTCTGTGCTAGCCATGGCCAATCTGACAGTCTCGCAGAGGTTGTCCAGGGAGATATTTTGCTGATGCAAATCTATGGCTTGCGGTGGCAAACATTCTAGCCATGTTCGACACAAAGCCCTACACAAACACCGTAACTGGAACAGTTGAGCTTCCGAAGCTCGAGCTCGAGAATCAAGGAGCATTGGCGTGAGTGTATTGGTATCAGAAACAGTACTTTATTTACTAAGCTCTATGGCTGCAGACATTGTAAAGATTTCAAATGCGTTATTACTCCGAGAGACAAAAGCTGGGCAAGTAACATGACTATAGACGTATAAACGACACTGCCAATGTGCGATAAATTGGTTAGCGGGTACAGACGTTACGCGTTTCAGACAGTAGACGGAATTTTACAAAATCTAGATTTTCCATGTATTTCTTTTGCGTCATACGTGATTGAAGAGATAGTTATCCTTCAACGGGATGCATTTAAGAAGCTAACTTATCAAAGTGTATAGTAATCTGCCTCCACGCCAAGTTCTATACCTTGTTCTCTGTGAACAGCATACTAGAACGGTTTTTGGTAATCCCTTTGCGGGAAGTACATCACAGCATAACTATCTTCAAGGCTTGCTATACTTTTAAATCAGCCTAATAGTCAGTTTTCCTGTGTCTTGATAATACCATCAGCAAACTCTCAAGCTAACTGAGTCTTGTCCGGCAACTAACCTCTAATTCTTCGACAAGAGGCACTACGACAGCTTCTCGCTTCAATGTCTTGTCCTGACGCGGAGGAGGTACTTTAGCTAGAAGCTCTACAACACGAGTGCTTCGAATCTCAGGCCCCCTATTCCCAAAATACCGTCCGCCTTCGAATATCCAGCAGTTATTTGCTCGTGCCCAATTTGCTAGTCCATAGATGTATTTCTGGACCTGGCGATCAATTTCTGGGTTCCAGGAAGGCAGCTCTTTCAGGCCATCGAGAAATTTAATTTTGACTTCGGTACATAGCTGAGTAACCTTCACAATCACACTCACGTTGTAAACAGATACTCCTGTGTTCTTAGTATCTTTCCTCGTGTCTTTTACCATTTAATGTTAATTTTGAAGCGAAAACAGGTGGCTGACTGCGAGGGAAGAACCGTTTGATGCGGGAGGAGAAAAGAAACATGCCAAGAGATGCGGTGCACGCGTCGAAAGAAGTCACGGCTACGTTCGAATTTAGCCAGGAATACAAGATTTTCTGATATTCGGATACATGATACAAGTCGTTAGGATGGAGAACTTCGACCACAACGAATTGATTGTACAAATAATTCTCCCTAAACTGATCTCATATAACGTTCCCAAATAACCAGATGACTCTCCAAGTGGACCAATTTCAGGCTTTGCATGCTTATAACTGTTGTAGAGCTTGACACAAATAATGACTAGTACTAGTGGCACAGTACGTTCCTCCACACATGTCTTGGTTGGAATATGAGTAGTCAGCAGCTCAACAATGATTTGAAACATGCAACAGTGGAATGAATATCAATTGTGCAGGCACGGAACGTTTAGAGCATTCGATATCCCAATTACAGTCAGAATAAATAATCTTGATTTAGGTTTGCTATCGAAGCGTGACAATAGGCCTTCTGTCTTCTGAATCACCTCATGCCGCAAACACCTCGTCAAGTAGACCAACAGCATTTATTCCATTTCGCAGAGTTATCTTGCACTTGAAGGGCTTGGGTTGTCTATTGTCGATAGAGCATGGGGATTGAATCCTCGAAGGAAAGAAGAGGCTGTACTCACATCATCAATACGCTAGTCTCGAATTCGCGTTTTGGCAGTTCAACGTCGCCAGTTTCGGCGTTCGTACAGGGACATATATCAAACAAGGCCAGTACATTTGCCATGGCGAACCATAGTGTCGAGTCCGCGAAGTACTTTCCAGGACATACTCTTTAATATAGTAATGAGGCCCTTTGGAAATAGCGCGAATTGAATGGAGGAATCCTGACCTTCGTCCAAAACCGAATACGATGTTGCTAGGGTCGCCACATGAGGCCCATCCAGTCATCTTTTCATCTAGGTATCGTTCTGGTCTGAATTCTTCCGGGTTCGCGAACGAAACCTCGTCTCTCATCATCTGCCTAATTAGAACGTGAGGAAAGCAATAACCAAACATTTCGTGCTCCCACGGACCATATATTAGGAATTATGATTGCTCCTTGTGGAATACTCCACCCATTGTATTGCTCAGTTCGTGTCGACGCATGTGGAACACCTGTTTTATTTGACGTCGATGTTAGAAATCAAGTTAAAGTAAATCAGTGAGATCTAAGATCATAAATACCCAGTGGTAATGGCGGGTGGATGCTGGCGTATTGCATAAATCGGTGAACTAATGAAATGAATCTTGAACTCTGGAAATGGACATACCGATACAACTCTTTCAAAATACAGTCTATGAACGGCAGTTGTTTCCTGTCATCAAAGGCTGGTAGACGATCTCTGCCAATAACATTCTCGATTTCTTCCTGTGCCTTCTTTGCTACTTCGGGGTGAAGTGCCATCATCAAGAAGAAAGACGCGAGAACCGACTTAGTCTGCGTTGTCACAAGAAATAAAATTAGCGGCCGAAAGGTAATAAACATATACTCAGACGAAACGAACAGTGTCTGATCCAGCTGGTATGAATTTTGCGTCAGAAATAGAATTCTTTACGCCGCGATTCCATACACATACCATTGTAGACGACCGCACCAATGTTTTTGATATCTTCCTCATAATCATGATCAACGGCGCCAATCTTCTCATAACTGTCCAATAAGCCTGATACGAAGCATGTCGGAGATATTCCAGAAGCCTTGAAATCTTAGATGTAAGATTATTATACATGCAGTAGATCTGGCAGCCGTTACCCTCTTTGCTTTGAGTTCGTCCAAAGGTATAATCATTGTTTTGTTGACGAATTCACGTATTCCTAGCGCAGTTTTTTTCATGTCCATTCCAGGAAGCCAATCCGGTACGTGACGAACTGGTGTAATGGCAAAATCAGCAGTCTGATAAAGTACATGTAACAACATACTTACGAGAAGGAAAAACATCAATCAACGACGTCCCTACGTTGGAGAGACTTGCAGTTAAGCGTATGGTGTGCTCTACGAGATCGAGATATTCGTCATTACAGGATTCAACTTCATGGCCGTAAGCGGCTGAGACCGCGACACTAGCAACAAAGCTAGAGAAGTGTTAATGTCGTTTTCTCCTCATAGGTGTCTTCTTGCACTTACGTATGCATGTGATTTAAGAAATCATCCGGTGTCGTCGCTAAGTGATGAAGAAATTTGTGCGTTTCTCGCTCCTGCATTGGCTTGAATGAAGAAACTGCTTGAGAACCAAAATATTGTTGGATCATGCGGCGCTGCTTGCGGAAACGCGGACCATAACGAAGTATAGGAAGACTGAGCTCCCACCCCATCCTTATACACGAAGTCAGGTTAAAAGTTCCAAAGATGGTTGGGAGACATGTACACACAGATAAAATACTGGCGCATTTGGCCTGTCGGAGAAAGACCAGCTTTTCTGTTCTAACATGTCTCGCGCAGCGACGAAAGAGTTAAGAATAACGATTGACTGTCCGAATGCATAAGTATAGATGACGTCGCCTATATTGTCGTCCATTCATAAGTTGGTATAAACCGAGGCCAGTTAATGCACACACCATATATTTTCTTCCACTTTGCATATAACTCCCAACCCGTATTGACCGGAAGCCGTCTTGCATGACCTATCAGAAAGTCCGCGGGAGGACTTGGGGGTAGACGAGCGAACGCAGCGCGTCTCTTCCAGATAGCCCCGGAAATAAAAATAACTGCAAGGCTTGTAGCAGCAATGTCCAACACGGTGAGCATTTCCGCAAGACTGGAGTTGAATGACCACTGGGGCAGAATCGTCGTTGCGGGGCCTATTATGGAGCTAGCAAAGGTTCCAGAAGAACCACCGATAGTACTCTAACATTCATGTCTGAAGGAAGCTTCATCTTTTATATTCTCCCTCCCCAACGACTATGAGCGCTGAGATATCCGCGGAAAATTACACGGCGACGAGTGGACCAATGTGTACGGCATACAATTGATTAAGTTACGTTGATAGTAGCTAGAAATGGGATCAAATTTCGAAGCATCCAATCAAAGCAGCTTTCTCACAGTCTGACATAAGTTCTGGAACCACTATTATCCTCCTCAAACAGTTGTGGCACATCAAATCAATCCGAAGCTGCAGGCTTTGGCTAAGCGTAGGCTCCACTTATCTCGGACAATCTACGATATTTGAAGTGCGTACCTTACTGCGGCGGCCATGAGCTTCTTATCTGAGTTCCTTTCTTTTTAATTTGATGTCGAATTAAGTGAGCCTTCTATCACTCGATTCCCCTTGAACCAGTACTTGGGGGAGCCGCCCGGTCCCGCCTCGGTGAGCGCAACAATGTTTTGCAAGTGAACAAAGTTATCTGGTCATTCTTAAATTTTATAAGCAGAGCATTACTTCAGATATCGGCTGTTTGTCGCTCCGCGATGGAATTCAGATCTGCTGAAATTCGTTCGGAATCCAAAGATAACGGCGGACGTCTGCGATGGCACCAACTCAAATTAGACTCTATAGTCAAATTCCTTTATTCCGTCAGATTGTACAATTTGTTGTCGAGCTCAGCGATCTCGCCTAGCCTGGTTAAAACATTTGCGCGAGCTGCAGAATCCTGAAGCGCCTAGTTCACAAGTTCAGTGCCAGTAACGGATACATGAGTGAACCAGCCGCCTACCCCGACTGACTGCCATCCTGTTACTAGAATGTATAGGCGAAGAGCTTTACCTTCCATTATATAACCATATGACGCCCCTGATGGTGCTTCCCGCATTATAGAATCAAATTCATCGTCTTTAGCGGTTGGTTTGAGCGTAGCGACAATAATCTCGGTCAATGGAGTTGTGAAGGCGCGTTCCGCCGGATACGGACGAAGCTGAACATGCAGTATTTCAATTCGCTCCGTATTGGCAAAAGAGCTGACACGGGCCGTAAATGCAGGATATATGGCACTGTTTTGGAATGTGGAATGATGGGCAAGAGAAAGCCATTCTGTGTAAATTCAAATAGTCGCATTACATACTCCCCTTCACTGACGTCAGTTTGATCCAATCAACGGAACATACCTTGTACCCATATACCGCATCCCTTACTGTTGACTTCGCGCCCATGATATACGACCTATCAGAGCAACATAAGTAAAGTCGTATCCCATTGTCGGGCTGTGCATGCACACCTGACGCAACCATCGAGGCCTTTGGTAATTTCAAATGCGTCCTTCTCTGCGTCGTTCAGCTGATAGTCATAAAACTTCACGATCTCGGTGACATTCTCCGCGTCTTCGTGCCCCATCTCAGACCGTCAGTTGAGCTAGTGGAGATGTTTCTGACTGAGTGTGACCAGGAAGACGGGAACGTTGGTGGATCCGTCATAGGTGAGGAGTAGCTACAGCTACCGAGCGGTGGAGATACCGTGACTTCTGGATAGGATACTGCTTGAAACGGAATCATGTTCTGCCTCGTAGAACGAGGAAATCTCATGGTGGAAAAATGGTGGTAAGAAGCAGCCAAGCAGCCGTGTCTCTCCTAGCGCTCAGACTATTCATCGGCAGTGAGTCCGAGTTTCGGACGGGCTGATCATGCACAAGTAGGCCGATATATATATTACCCTAATCCCCTTCTGTCTGATCCACATCTTTTAGCGGGTTTATCATGCGTACCGCCACAACAGCATCGTGATCACTCTCGTTCAACATACACTACTGTCCACCTTGGCACCCACCATCATGTATCCCCTATTTCCATGGCTTCAGCAATCCTCGATCATGCCACGCTCTCCGTTAGCTGCTATTCCAGTAGTCATCACCGTCTATCTTGCCCTAGTCCGCGCGCTACGCTTTCATCATGTTTTGGCGTTGAAATGGAAATACGGAGATGGACCTCAGGCGACAAATGTACCAGGCAAGAAACTTGGACTTGGAAAAGAAGCTAGTTTGGTTAATGGTAGACCGGATGTGAAATTATCTCTGGAGGAAGCTCAAGAAATTGTACTACGTGTGACGCAGCTTGAAATGCCGGGTTTGATGCGAATCGCGTTGTCTTTCGCTCTTTTTAAAACATACGCGATCGTAAGTTCCATCCCTTCTGTATTCCCATTTCACCCGCCCAGACGTTGAGTTTCTTAATTAATTAGCCAACCATTTCTGCGATCCTTCTCCAGTCTAAACAATTATCGACAGCAGAGAATGTCTCCAAGCGATACACGGATGTTCGTTGAGAGCTGATTCTGTTCATTACCGTTTAATATAGGAACTGACTTAATCTATCTCCGACTTGTCCGTGAGACAGACAGCTGTCCTTATTGCGACCTGGTCAGGCTGCCCGATCATTGACCTCTCCAAAACGAGCCTGAAACCGAAGGATGTTGACTCTCGAGGTGCAGTTGCAATTGCGCGTGTTAATTGGCTGCATGGTCGATGGCCAAATATTGTGTGCCCTTTCCTCACCGACATCCAGGTTATTTCATGCTGAGATCTGCACAATATAGAAAAAAGAGGATTTCCTATACACCTTGGCCTTATTCGTACTGGAACCCATCGTACGCAGCTAAATCTCTCAAGGGGATGATAAGCAGTTATTGACGATAAACTAGCGCTGGGCAAAACTGTACGGCTGGAGAGAGACCCTCCCAATTGAGCAAGAGGCGCGTATGCACAATCTCCGTTGAAATACGCATTGATCTGACCATTGATAAACCAGGCGTTTTTTGTAGTATGGAAGGAGTTTGGGCGTCGCATGAATATCGAGGATATCCCCGATACATTGCAGGAACTGTATGAGTGGTCCAAGGTAAGTTCTTCCATTCTTGTTTACTTATCTCCGAATTTGAAATAGCTCAAACCACCGATTCTGATGCGAACACCTTTATTTAATTTCATAGAATTATGAAGAGACAGCAATGGTACCCGCAAAGTCCAACTTTGAAGTTGGCCAATATACGTTGAACTTCATGTTGACTAACTTTACGGAACGATTTGGTGTGCGTGAATTCATGCGCCAGATGTCCATTTGTATAATGGAGGAGCGGGTCCGAAAAGCATTCATGTCAGTATTTGCTTTATCTTATTGTGACATGAACATCCACCGACTCAGTAGTGTCTCTTGTTCTTGCAGGCTTCCGGAATCTACCCCACTGATGCATTCTGTCACACGAGGCTTGCTGTCCTTTTTTGCAATCATGCATCGCTACTTCAGCCTCCCACGATTCCGTCGTCAACAGTATATACCGCGCAACGTGCCTGCTGAAAAGTTCAAAGAAAAGATGCCACGTTTTCATCCTGGAATGTGGGTTATTCGCATTTCGATTATATGATGCTTGTCTGATACAACTATTTCTCTAGATTCGAAATGGTTCCCTGGTACAAGCCTGAACCAACTGGGCTTGCATGGGTATGGCAGAATATTCTGCTGAAGATCGGAATCCTTGACGAGGAATACGTACCAGGCCCGAGATATAAGAGTGAAGGGTACCGGTTGGAAGAATGCGTCAGTTGTTTCTCCTCGGTTTCCGCGTCTCTTTTACTGTCGGGTTCTGACGTGCACTTTTTCTGCGTCTTCAGGGACCGATTGCACTTGAGCAAGGTTAGCATCTTAATTTTAGTTTTCTTTACGGACTATATTTAGCTAACTGCTATGCACGTGAATTGTACCACATAGCTGGACATGCGGAAGTAATGAAGATGGCTGCAGAGATACAGGGCTGCCCAGTTACAGGGATCTGGGCACGTTGAAATGAGGGTTCCTGTATCTATTTATTTAACTACTCAAGGTACACCGAAAGGTATTTATTGTCTCATATCTTTAAAGCTTCGAAAGAGGAATGTGAAGTTCTTTTCTGGAAATGACTGCTAAATTTGTTCGACCTGGCGCCGTCGTGCGCCACAAACTCCTATCTGCGTGTCGTCCCTGCTCCTTTTGCTGGCTAATGTTAGGATCCTTATACCCTGGACTTTGGTAAATTGAACGAAAGCGGAGCATCGAAGGATAATGTGAAACTATACATACGCTTTAAGGTTTCGGAATGGAAGAATGGTCCAGCCACCTGTGAGAGTGCTGGCAGGCACGCCATTTACCTTCCGACCTATCTTGACTGTGTCATGATAGACGTGAGATCCAGACCTCCAAGCTGAGTTCTTCAGGTTCATCCTTGCTGAAAGGAAAAGATGCCAATACTGACAAGGAAGAATCGTAAATACTTCTTTACTTCTAGTCGAGCATGAAGTTGCATATTTACGGAAATGCTGTTTACCTACCTGGAGATACATGAGACACTTGGTATGGAGTGGGCTCTGTTCCCTTTTTTACGGGAACGTACCTTAACATAATTTTTAACAATGACCAAGTGCTATTTATATTTGTGAATTGATTTTCTACTGAAGGTTGTTATTGGAACGGAAGCGCAGCAACAGGGCGGCAATGAGGAAGTCCCGGGCATATCGAAGTGGGCTCTCAGCAACTAGGGAAAGACAGTACTGTAGAGTCGACTAGTGCTTGAGTGGCGTTTGCGGCTTTTAAATCTGATAGGTTGCAACGGCCTTTTCGGAGAGAGAGGGTCATAAACCTGGGAAGTAGATCAAGTCTCTCGGTATTTCGTAATCGTATGCATCCTGTTTCTATGCCCTGGTCGGCACCGTTAGATGTTCAGATGTAGCTTTGGCCGGTTCTTCGAATGCGAAAAATACTCTACAACGGGGAAGGTTGTTCATGGGTGTCCTGCCTGGCAACCATGCTATTTACGATAGCGTATTTTTTAAATTTTTTGAAGTCCTAAATTCGTCACAATGCTTTAGGTAAGCAGGAAGCAAAGAGCAGGATTATAGGGCATGTGACTTGCACGTGTTTTTCAATAGACTTTCGTCCCACACGGCAGTAACCATCTTCTGAGTTCTCTTCTCCCAAAACTTCCAGCTCGAGTGCTTTTCTCTTAAGCTTATCGGCTCCCCTAAGTGCTGTGCTTCAATTCAATGATGTGCTCATATGAACAGAGAACAAATGTGACGCCCAATGGTTTTTCCGTGTTTGCTAAATAATCAGGATTCTGAAGGAAGCTAATTCTGTCTGTCCGCGGGGGACTGCAAGTCCATCTCCGGCAATTGTCGCTATTATTGCCTCTCTCCAACGTCTATCGGAACTGCTCATTTCATGATCGCTTATGCCTGTCGCTGTCATTACGTGGCATGGGATCAATGTGCAAGCAAGATCGTCGTTCTGCCCATCTGCCTAGATCAGTGTTCTTGAGGCGTGACCTATTTGTTTCCGGACAAAATTCAAATGTCTTTCCGACCGGCGGCTGACCCGCTAGCAATAGCAACGCATTTATTCTGGGGTATTCCGGCTAGTATTTCTGACATCCGTGTTCTGGTGTCCCATCACATTCAGTGTGGTGCTGCTATTCACTCACAGTACACCACGAATCACCTGAACATACTAATCGGTGCGTAGACGTGGCTTCCCGCTCGGTTTTCACATTTCCATCGGTTTATGCCATTGCCACCAACGCCCCTGTCAGCGCATAGCATCGATGCGCTGATACTCCCCTATCCATTTTTCTCAGGCGACGAAGCCCATCTGCATCCCCTTTCTGCCCTCATTTTCATTTTATTCTTCTTCTTTTCGGAGTGACTTCTTTGGGACTAACATAAAATGGCTCATCTCAGGCTGTCCAACACGATCGAAGGATTTTCTCACTTCCTCTCGCCATCGTCATGCGTACTCGTGTTCGCCTTCTGGTTGCGCTGGGATTCCTTCGAGGTGTAGCCTCACAACAGATATACGACATAGTATGTGCTCGCTACCCTTTCACGTGTCACGTTCGCGGCTTGCACAGGGCTGACTATACCCCTTGCGTAGTGGACAACAACATGGGATCGGTCAAGCCTGTTGACGTATAAGAATCTGTCTCCAAACCCTATCAACTTCGTCTCGCCTGGCGCCGCAGCTAGTGCGGACATTGTCGTAGATGACAGCTCGACATTCCAGTCGATCTGGGGTGTTGGCGGGTCCCTCAGTGAGCTTCATTTTCCGTAAAATATGCACATATTTAATAATTAATGTGCTCTGATCTACGTAGCGGACTCATCTGCTCAGTTACTTAGCAACCTGAAGGTAAGAATGACGTAGCTATTAACAGTTGGATGTCCCTTATGATGGGGTGATGGCTATAGTCGCAAAATGCTGCTAATTATTGGAGCCTCCTTGGATATGTTTTCTCTCGTGCGTCATCCTTATGTTGAACATATTGTGGCGTGGAGATCTTAGTTTAACCGCTGTAGCCACGGACGGAGCAAATGCGGGCGGACTTAGCTACCTGAGAGTTCCGCTCGGAGCGAGCGACTTCTCTTCACACGGTATGTTGTCATTCATTAGTATTTGGCTTCTTCTCATGACGAATTTCTGCAGTGTACAGCTTCGACGATACATCTGGTGATACCTCGTTCAACAATTTCAACATCAACGCAGCGCCGGCTGCCGTCTTCTCCACAATCCAGGATATCAAGTCTATCAACAATCTCTTGAGAGTGCACATCCTTCCGTGGTCACCTGTGGGTATCTGCATATTGTTTTAGGAAGTATGAAAGACTAAAATAAGTCGCTCATATTGCAGCCGGGATGGATGAAGGACTCTGGAACTATGAATGGCGGGTCGCTGCTTGATCAATACGTTGGCGTCTGTGAGCAATTCGTTTTTGGAGCTTCGTGGAAAGAGAGTCCTGATCAGGACACACCGTACTCTAAGATCCCACTTATTTGTTGAAATGCGTGCAAGGATTCGCGAGTAAAGGTATCACCCCATATGCTATCTCCATCCAGGTTCGTCTGTTCCACTTCAACTGCCTTTGCCAAGGCGCGCATAAGTGCTGACATTCGATCCCATATGAATTAGAATGAACCTCAGAACAACAACCCAACTTATCCAACTGCGCTTGTCAGTGCCTCGCAGGAGGCACAGATTGGGAACACGCTGCGCACATTACTAAACAATAATGGTTTCTCGAGTGTAAAAATCATTGGTTATGAGCACAACTGGGATGATGCTGCCGAATATCCGGTCGAAGTTGTAAGCAGTCTGTCCATGCTTTCGAAATAGTCATCATTCACCTGTCACGCTTAACGTCTCCTGCCTGCCTTCTTCATATAGATGCAACAAGCAAACAGTGCATTCGCCGGTGTCGCGTTCCATTGCTATGCTGGCAACGTAGCCGAACAGGATCAATTCCATACTCAGTACCCGCAGAAGGAGATCTACTTCACGGAGTGCTCTGGCACGATCGGCTCTGACTGGTGGAGCGACATCAAGGTAGATATCTGATTCTCATCTAGGTATAAGTAGCTGACCGTACATTTTGTTATAGTGGTACATGGACAATATGTGCGCCAGGCAATCATTAATGCTAAGATTGACTTAATTGATATACTTCCATATTATTGTAGTTTCATCGGTGCAATTACGCATAACGCGCATGCCGCATTGATGTGGAACTTAGCTCTGGACGGGAACGGTAATCCACTTCCACCAGGCTCAAATAGCTGTGGAGGTGGATGCAGGGGTATTATACAGGTTAACAGCGACGGCTCATGGAGCCCGAACCAGGAGTGTAAGTCCTTCAATATAGTGCTTGCGGTTGTGCTGATTGATTCGCCGATTTTTTCTACTCTTCCTCACTCAACAACTCGTATAGTCTATTCTATGGCTCAAGCTTCTAAGGGAGTCCTTCCGCGCGACGTCGGTGGGCCGTGGGGCAAGCGCATTGGCGTTTCAGTTGGTGGATCAATGAGCTGGGCGCTTATCGTCGGAGCGTATATGACCGGGCGTGTAAACCCAAGTGACTGGAACCGCTACTCGCTCGTCGTTCTCAATTGGTACATCACTTTTTACAAGACATTTTCCAATGATATATGCTAATAGTATGTTTTTAGGGCTGACAACACGAATGGCCAATGGAATCCGCAGAACGTGGAAGCTACGATTGAATTCCGCGGAATGCAAGCGACATACACGTTCCCTGTCGGCGTCACCACACTCTGGTGGTACGCTCCGTCGACTTCGTTCACCTCGACTTCATTCAGCACGTTCTCTGTGAACAACGCTACGGCTGAACAATTCAGTGGCGAGTCTGATTACGGTGAGGATGGGTCGCAGTTTGTCGTCCACGCGGAGAATGAACAGGGAGAGCAACAAATAAGGTTTACAAGAGATCGTAACTGAGCTTCATTCAGGTAATATTGGTAGATTGGGAGAACGAAATCAATGGGTATTCGTATGTTTCAAAATTTCTTTCCTATTATTTAATTCGAGGCCGAGAACCAAATATGAAATGACGATCTGCATGTATACACGATAGCACTGTATACCCATCATATATATGGAAGATACGCAATGCAACGGAAACTTTATTTATTATATGAAGATTTGTAGATGAGATATTCCTCGATGTGTTGCATTCGCAGGCGGGTCCAGAAAAATCCCATAAACTGTAAATAATCATCATAGTCCGTCGAGAGCCAGCATTAGGCTGTCAGGGCTGACGAAACATGCGATGGAGATGTCAGCCACCCCGCATATATACCGGACTAACGATATTCAATGACAACACTTCTACATTAGCCGCTGAACAAACACTCTCGACTCCAATCCTTCCACAGACGAACTGATGGCCGACGTATTCATGTCAGACGGTTCGGAACCACAAACACCCTTCACTTTCCGCGTCGCGTACGACGAGATCCATCGCATCGGTTCGCAATTGTCTGGCCTTACCAACCAAGCAAAGACTCCCAGCAACGCGAAAAGCAACACACAGTTTTCGGTTCACAAGAAGCGTAAGGAGCTGCGTGAGTTGTTGAGGAAGATTGGAAGCAAAAAGAAGACATTGGAAAAACTCAAGAAAACGGAGCAAAGTTTGTCGCTTCTTTGTTTACCATAAGTGCTGTGTCGAATTGAATTGTCCAATAGTGCCGTTGCTAATCGAGAAAGAGGACGACTTAGCCGAAAGCGACGACGACGTCAATACCACATTCGTAAGTCCCTTGAATTCGATCCGTCGTTGGTTAGTAAATACTAATGAGTCTGATAGGCTACCGAAGACTTGTCAGTCACAGACATATCCTTTTCGGAGAGCCCTTCGATGCGCAAGCGTAAGCGCTTTGCGGGCATATGGAACAATATTGATGTCGACATGCAGTTGGGCGGGGAACGCGCTGACAAGCGGATCCGCGTCAATAATATCCAGGATGAGACCAAGGAGAATGTCGCTCAATGGCCCGACGTTCAACGTAAAGGGCGTTCGAGCTTTCTTTGAGGATGACGGACACTCCTCAATCACAGAGATAACCAGTCAAGAATTGAGCTACGCTACACCTTGTTTCGTGTTTCGACCCCTCGTTTTCATTCGCCTCAGTTTGTGAGCCTTCGGAATAATTGTCTCTTGTAGCCCATCCGACGATTTCGCACTCCATTCCTCTTCTCTTTAATCGAATACGGATTTTAGCTTAGAGATCGACAGATACAGTAGAACCACTCGACTCCGCACTTTAATATCATTGATTCTATGTTGCCTAGTAGATGATGGATGGGCAGAAGATTAGAGAGCTCAGTTCTGAGTTGATTCTTGAAGTGAGGTCAAGAACACAATGGGAGTGGCATTACATAAGGAGCAACGAAAGGAAATCTGCATAAGGCATGTGAGAATAACATGCTAATTACGGAAAGCCTTTTAAATGCCCTGCTGTGGGACTTGTTCTGCATTCCTGTCTTATCCCCACTTTGAATACTCTAATACTGTATAATGTCTGTCAGAGGAACGCGCGGGTGATGCAGAAAGAGTAAGTTACATTACTGGACTGGAGATGATGTGTAATCGTTATGCTGACAGGACCGAATCTACCCAATCCCAATGAAAGTTGACCGTAAGTCCGTAACAGCAGGCGCGTACAGGTAAGACCGATTGGTCATAAGCTTTACCTTCGTGATACCATCAGTTTCACCTTATACGAGCGGGTTGATCAAGCATGAAGCTGATTCAAATGTTCCCTGTCAGTTCTCGTTCTCGACTTCAGGCACAGGGTTGCCTATACCTATAAATACTTCTGTCGATTTGTTTCGGGATCATTCCACTTCTCTCAGACCTTCAACCGTTGATAGCCATAGCACACCAAAATGTCATTCATGTCAGCACCTCCGCCTTCGACGCCGCTTGGGCGCTATCGCGTCCTCTCTCCACTTGCAGGTGTCCGAGTCTCACCGCTCCAACTTGGAGGGGCGAGTATTGGGGACCAAGGTCATAAAATCGGCATGGGCGCGATGGATAAGGAGTCGTCCTTTAAACTTCTTGACGCCTATTTTGATGCCGGAGGAAACTTTATTGATACTGCAAGTACCTAGTAGGTGGTCTCATTTTATTATGCAGTTGAATAACCTGACTGATTTCGTCGTTGCTTTGCAGTCAGTTTGGGACATCCGAGATGTTCATTGGAGAATGGGCTGAAAACCGAGGGATACGTGATCAACTTGTTATTTCTACGAAAGTAAGTCATGGCTTTAGTACAAGACTCGACGAATTATTCATAATTTGACAGTATTCGAATAATCTTAAAGTTGCTGATCCGGATGTTAATATCAAAGCCAACTTTAGCGGCAACAACGCCAAATCGATGAGAATAAGCGTCGATCAGAGTCTCAAGAATCTTCGTACTCATTACATCGACATTTTCTACCTCCACTTTTGGGACTTCACTTCATCCGTCGAAGAAGTCATGGATGCGCTGCATATTCTTGTCTCTTCGGGCAAGATCCTCTATCTCGGAATATGCAATGCGCCAGCTTGGGTTGTTGTCCACGCAAATATGTACGCGAGGCAACACGGAAAGACGCCATTCGTGATATATCAAGGTGCATGGAATGTGATGGATCGTAGCTTCGAACGTGACATTATCCCGATGGCGCGTTCACACGGTCTAGCTCTGGCTCCTTATAACGTCCTTGGTTCAGGCAAACTCCGGACTGATGCAGAGGAAGAAAGGCGCGCGACAACTGGTGAGAACGGTAGGACTGTCTTCCGATCGGATTGGAGACGCAACGAGAAGGAAAGGAAAATGAGCGCGGCACTTGAAAAGGTAGCGAAGGAAGTCGGGACGGAACATATCACTGCTGTGGCGATTGCATACGTAATGCAGAAGACACCATACGTATACCCCATTATCGGAGGTCGAAAGGTCGAGCACCTGATGGCGAACATTGAGGCGTTGAAGATCTCGCTTTCGGATGACCAGATGAAGTATTTGGAAAGCATTTTACCGTTTGAGCCGGGCTATCCTCATAACTTAATTGTGAGTGGTTTCCCCATTGGATTTGTCGTCGTTTATTCGGTTAATGATCGTCGGGAACAGGGGAACGGTACTGGTCGACCTGCTGTGTTAGCTAGCTCGGGACACGAGGACATCTGGCCAATCAAGCAGCCAATCAAACCGAGTAAATTGTAATTGTTTACGCGACGTAATGATGAAATGCAAAATGGTGTGTTGTATAAAGCGTCTCCTGTACCTTGTATGCTCGGATGACACACGCAGGTCTTTGCTGATTTATATAACTAAGTGCCTATTTAAGTGCAACACTCATGACACATACAAAAACAGTTGACCATGGTGAGTTTGTAATATGATATCAAAAGTGACATCCGATAGTCAACTTGTTCGCTTTGGACGGTCTCCTCTATTTCGTGCGCTACAATTGCTTCAAGGAGCTCCACTCTCGAGTACTGTAATCAATCAACGAATCACTTCAGATCTCGCTGGCAGGCATATATGCTCAGACCATGGTCATGCACTCACTTGGTGACCGCAAATTCTGCCGTCAAAAATTCGCTTTGATCTTTTGTTGCTAGAATCTCGGAATCTGGAACAGCACTTTTATTTACTTGCCTCCAGATATAATCTCCTAGCTTGTAACATATTCTGTTCTCCAAACGTTACCCATTTTTATTTCTGCTTCATTGCGAAGTCATGAAACCTAACAGTTGTTGCGTGTCTCACTTACGCATTGCCATGACGGGTTAGAGCGGGTCTACTCCTAATCACTCGACTTGTTCGAATCCGTGATTGTTTCATTATGCTATTAGGCCCAGACATTTCATGGTAGAATGTCGTTCCCGCCTCAAAAGACCAGAAGATTGATAGCTGAATGCATAATATTTGATGGACACACATAAACATTTCAACAGACTACCGGGAGAACTTCAGTAAGATGGACACACAATGTACTTTATACTAAGACGAGACGCGGTATAGATGAATAGATGCAGGGACTATATACAGCTTTCATTGACTAGAAACACGGAAGGGACACTCATACAATTCCATTAGTCTGGATCCCGGCACATAAGAGCTCATGAGATGCCTGCTGCTTTACAGGTGTATCAATGCAGTTTGTTGTCGGCTTGGTATTCTCAAAGAGCCACATATCGCTATAGTATCACCGATGTGCGTCCACTCCGTGGAGAAATCTTGCATTTGAAGGGTTTAAGTTCTCTATTGCGAGGCAATTTTCTCAGTCCTTGAAGTTCAATTCATCACTGCACTTACAAGATGAGCTGTTCCTCCTGGACTTCATTTTTCGGGAGCTCGACCTCTCCCGTCGCAGGGTTTGTATACGGCTCAATGTCGAACATTGCCAGAACGCTGACTATTGCCAGCCACAAAGTTGTATCGGCGAGGTACTTCCCCGGACATACCCTTTCAAATGCGTTTAGAAACAATGAAGGGCTCAGTCAACAAAATCCACACCTTCTTCCAAAGCCGAATACTATAACACTAGGATCCTCTTCTCCAGATAATGTCTAACTTTCATTTAGAAGTTTAGGTGGAGAAGACGAATCAAAACGTTCTTTACCTTGTTTAGGAATCGCTCGGGCACGAATTCGCCTGGCTTCTGGAACACTGCTTCGTCTCTCATCATCTGCCTAAAATTGAGCCAAGTTAGTATCCGAGCCACGCTTTGTCTGTACAGCATATGTGCACCAGATGTTAGAGATGACTATTGTTCCATCTGGTATGACCCAGCTGCGATACTCTTCAGTTTGAGTCGTAATATGTGGCATACCTAATAACTTGTGTTAATTTTCAAAGTCCGAGTGCAATAAGGGCAACGTACCCAAAGGCCCTGGAGGGTGTATTCTTGATCACACATGTCTTAGTAAAACAATGGGTAGGTAGGCACAAAGTCACACACCGATACAACTCTTTCAGCAAGCATTCGATGTAAGGCAAGTCCTTTCTGTCTTCAAATGACGGCATGCGATACGTTCCTACAATTCTATCGATTTCCTCCTGAGCCTTCTTTGTAACCTCCGGGTGGAGCGTCATCATCAAGAAGAATTCTGTAAGTGTCGCTTTTGTCTCGCGAAAATTATGGATAAACCTAAATCACAAAATATGGGACAGGGCAGTGACGTTCGAGACGTACTGTGTGTGTACCAGCTGTCAGGCGCATGTCAGGAATAAAGAGCAATAAATAGGGCCTCTTCTTGTCTTTTACACTCACCGTTGTAAACAGTCGCTCCGATACTCTTGATATATTTTTCGTGTTCGTAGTCAACGACGCTCATCCCCTCATACTCATCCAATAAGTCAGATATAACGCATTGGGGAGCAGCTCCAGCGCCCTAAAGGAAAGTTAATACTAGTATCGAGCACTATAAGGTGGCGTTTAATAGATAAATACTCACCCTTTTCGATTTCACCTCTTCCAATGACTGATTCTACAACCTTCCGAGTTTTCTTCGTGAGTCTCTTAAGCCTCATCCCAGGAAGCCAAGCAGGCAAATGACGCACTGTACAGGAAATAAGACAGTTTAGCCAAGTATAAGATACATGATGTGCAAAATATCTCAGACTAACAGAATGGAAAAATGTCGATAACGCTAGTACCCACGTTACCTAGACTTGTTGACAAGTGCATCGCATTCTCTGTAAGCTCAATTAATTCGTCATGGCCAGATTGCACCTCACGACCATATGTGATACATAAGTTGATTCCAGCGACAAGACTAGTGCGAGTTAGAGAAGAAGTTGAGCACTGATAGTTACCTACTAGAGTATATGATCCAAAAACATATCTGGTTCCGTCAACAAGCGGAGTAGGAATTTCCTTGTCTCCCTCTCTTGGATTGGGCTGAGACTGTCAATTGCTGTAGGTCCAAAATATTGGTGCATGAATTGGTGATGTTTCCTGAATCGTGGGCCATAACGAAGAAATGGTAGATTAAGCTCCCACCCCATCCTACGAGACGTTAATCAGCTGTACCAACAAAGCGAAAGCAAGAAAGCAGATACTAACATGTTGAAAACAGGCAAATACGGCCTATCAGAGAATGTCGCGCTCTTCTTTTCTAAGAGATCACGAGCTGCAGCGAAAGAGTTGAGAATGAGAATTGAACGGCCGAGAGCATATGCATAGACGACGTCGCCTGCTTCACTATCAGTCTGAGTTGAGCAGAATGCATAGTTTCTAGACAAACCATATTGGTGTCGCCATTTTGAATATGTCACCCATGGTATACGGACGGGTAATTTGGGCATGTCCAATCAAGAAGTCTGGCGACGGTCCGGGCGGTAGTCTATAAGACCTCTGTTTCTTCTTCCAGACGAATACACAGTAAAAAAATGTCGCAAGAGTCGCAAGAAACAAATAAAGGACGCTTATCATCTCGTAGTGTAGCAAGTGGTTTGAAAGATAACTTGGGTTGTGGTGACCGCTTCCAGACAGCATTTATAACCTGGTGACTATGATAGTGGGCAGACAGTGACATATCATCAATCGAGTCGATAACCACAGTCCAGAGTATCATCGTACCAATAGAGCATCCATAGTGGTATTTTCCATTCCATAATGAACTTGAGTGCAGATAAAGTGGTGATCCAAGTGAAGGTTCAATCGACCAAAGTTCGATGGAGAGACAATCCAAACGAAATTATGAAGTCATAGTTCCTACCATCGGGCATTATTATTCTTTCAATGCCTTCATTTATCGGGAAAGGCAGAACCACTGTCATAAAATTTCACTTTCTTGAACCTTAGTGTCATGGAGCTAGTCCGAGTTAGGGAATTTCAGGTTATACATTTGCCTGCAGGTATCGAGCAACTGTTATTCGTTAGCCTTAATCTTTATTTACAAGTTTGTACATTGAGCAATTGTGCGTACCTTGGCAGAAAGACAAAGAGTCGGTAGGACAGCACTGTTGGTTTGATGCAATATTGCCAAAATAACATTTAGAGAGACCGTAAGTCGTGATTCACGTCTCGAAGACGTCAGAGGCAAGGGCATGTCACAGAATGCAAGTGTCAGCCGCAGGTGTTGTAATTCAAGAAGGGTGGTAGATAAACACAGGACAATGCCAAGAAGTAGAAAAGCAAGTTGACTCATTGATAAATACTACAGTCTACTGCTCGAGTTGACTCATACGCCATGATAGTTGGAAAAGTGACAGAAGCAAAGATGGACCAAGCAAAGATGGGCCAAATGCAGTGCATTCTTACTCAGCTTGACTGCTATACTTATATGCCATCTAACCTTTTTCCCAGCCTGGCTGTACTCTGTCTGATTCCTGCGCTCTCTGCTTACTACACAAATAGTCTTCACAAGTGTTTTCAGTGTTTCAATTGCCAGATCAATGGACCTTAATCATTCATGTCGATTTATCCACTAGTAGTTTTCTACATATGAAAAAGAGAAAATGGAAGTCCAAGGTAGAACAAAGCATCTTTAGGCCCAAGCTCTGTGAAAGATTCGAAGGTCTACTTCATGGGCCACGCTTGATCAACTCGTCTGAATCCTGAAGAACTATCAAATATGTATATGCTCCAGCAAACAGGAAACGTCAAGCAGGAAAGAAAGCCGCCACGAATGAATTGACACGGGATCCATATGCAGGTCCTACTTGTGTAAAACTTGGCGGAAACGCTTACCCCATTACGTTTTCTGAGATTGGGACACTATGTGCACACGATATGCCTACTTGCACTGAGACAAGTGGTCTGGAAGAGTCAAGCCTCTTTACAGTACCATCGAAGTACGTCCATTCCGCGGAGAGATCTTGCATTTGAAAGGCTTTAGGACACTATTGCAAGGCAATATTCTTAGTACATGAAGTTAATTCAGCGCTATACGTACAGGACAACCTTATCTTCCTCTATCTCATTTTTCGGAAGCTCGACCTCTCTTGTCTCAGGGTTCGTATACGGTTCTATGTCGAACATTGCTAGAACATTGGCTATTGCCAACCACAAATTCGAATCGGCGAGATATTTTCCCGGACATACCCTTACCTTCGTGGTTAGAAACGGTCGAGGACTCATGCAACAATCACCTTTCATACCTTCTTCCAAAACCAAATACCATAATGCTAGGATCCTCCTCTCCAGAGAGCGCATGACTTCCATCCGGAAGTTTAGATGGAGAAAGTGAACCGAGTGAAGCTTTGGCCTTGTCCAGGAAACGCTCGGGCATGAATTTGTCTGGGTTCTGGAACACCGTCTCCTCTCTCATCATCTGCCTAAAGACATTGTTCCGGTGACTCAGAACACAACTTGTCCTTTAGCGAATACGCACCAGATATTTGCAATGGCTATTGTTCCTTTTGGTATGGTCCAACCACGATATTCTTCAGTTTCAGTCGAACCATGCGGTATGCCTAACAATTATTGTTTGTATTTGGCAAAGTGAGCATGATGAAAATGACTTACCTATCGGGACAGGAGGGTGGATTCTTCACCGCACGTCTTAGTAACAACGGTCGAAACGTTCGCACAGAGATTTACGTACCGATACAGTTCTTTCAGCAAGCATTCAACGTAAGGCAAGTCCTTTCTGTCATCGAATGAAGGCAAGCGGTGGTTCCCTACGACTCTGTCGATCTCCTCCTGAGCTGACTTTGAAACCTCCGGATGAAGCGTCATCATGAAGAAGAGTGCTGTGAGCGTAGATTTCGTCTTTTTTTAAAAGAGGATAAACATAAACGACGAAGCTGCAAGCAGAGATCCGAAGCGCACCGTGTCTGTACCAGCTGACGTGAAATTGGTCAGGACAGGGAGCACGAATAATAAGGGTTTTGTCCTTGACTGGACTTACCATTGTAAACAGACGCTCCAATGTTCATGATATCTTCTTCATGTTCATGATCAATAACATCCATGCCATCATACTTATCCAGTAGGTCTGAAATTACGCATTGAGGAGCAGCACCAGCAATCTTAAAAGGGAAAAATAGTGACATCGCGTTCTTCATTATAGTGTTCAACAAAGACTCACCCTTTTCGACTTCACGTCTTCCAACGGAACGGTCATAACTAATTCGACAACCTTCCGTGTTTTCTCCGTAAGACGCTTGAGTCTCATTCCAGGAAGCGAAGCAGGCAAATAACGTACTATACAAATTATGATATAGAATGACCAAGCATTAATAGACCGAACAATATGACAAAAACCAGATGAACTCAAACTCACAGAATGGAAAAATGTCAATGACCGAGGTACCTAAGCTACCTAGACTCGTTGACAAGTGCACCGCATTCTCTACAAGCTCTATATATGCGTCATTGTCCGATTGTACTTCATGACCGTACGTGACCGATAGGTTGATTCCAGCAATGAGACTAATGAGAGTTAAGGAAGTTTCTTGGACGTGCAAATCACCTACTTGTGTATATGATTCAAGAACATATCTGGATTTGTCAGTAAACGGTTTAAAAACTTTCTAGTCTCTCTTTCTTGAATCGATCTGAAATTTGCGATTGATGTGGGGCCAAAGTGCTGATGCACTATTCGACGATGTTTTCTGAAGCGTGGTCCGTAGCGGAGAAATGGTAGAATTAGCTCCCAACCCATCCTTATAAAAATAAAATTAGCCGTATGAAAGAAGGTGAAAACTAATACTGACATGTTAAAAACTGGCAGATACGGTCTGTCAGAGAATGTCGCGCTCTTCTTCTCTAGGAGATCTCGGGCAGCAACAAAAGAATTGAGAATGACAATTGAACGGCCGAGAGCATATGTATAGATGACGTCGCCTACTCAATTATCAGCTTAAGGTGACAGGTATATGTAGCTCATGAACAAACCGTATTCATGTTTCCATTTTGAATATGTTATCCAAGGCAAAGTAAGAGGTAGTTTTCGGGCATGTCCAATCAAGAAGTCTGGAGATGGACCAGGCGGTAGATGATGACCTGCGTTTTGTCGTTTCCAGAAAAATATGCAGCAGAAAGCTACTGCGACGGTCGCGAGAGACAGGTCGAAAATGTTGACTGCCATAACAACGTTAGGTTTAGGAGATGGCTTGGATTGCGGGGACTACCTCTGGATAAGCTTTATATCTTGGACTGTCAGTTAAATGTCATCAATCAATACTCGCAGCCTCGGTTAACAGCGGACGAATGGAACAACCACAGCAGCATTTATCATTCCCCAATGAACATGAGCGCAAGAGAAAATTAATTGTGCCTGAGTGTGAAGCAACCACTCTTTAATGCAGTTGGGCAAGAATCATACATGCACGGGCGCATCAAAGCATGTACGTAACTTGGTAAGTGGGGTGGAAAACGATAGGCCGTTCAATTGGAATTTAGTTGGCCTTTACGTTCACTGATTACAGCATTGGTAGCCCGTCTCCGTCGGAGGGTTTTACTTGTCAACGTTCCTCAACAAAGATACACAAAGCGAGACGAGATTCAGTGGATAAATAGTTCATATCATCCTCACTGCTATCCATGTCGCTGGATTTGTATGGTGAAGATAGATTGGCCTTAAAAGAATTTCTGCTTTCTTATGTACAACAGTAATGTTGAGAGAGGTTATGTGAGAGGCTTAGAGGGATCACACAAAGAGGGGGGATAGTGGACTCGGCTTGCTCTCCTTAGCGTCATTGTCCGTTGATTCAGTAGGTATATATAATATGTAGCTATGTCTCAGGTACGTCTGTTGCTTATATGCGTCATTCCATATATGTTAACACTCCCCTTCAAACATATATTAGTTTAATAATATGTTTGTTTTGCGACTATTCGTTTATTTGATTTGTAGTTATTTTTATTTTTATTTTTAGGGGTAGTTATAGTACTGCTACCACTCCCCTTCAAACATTTATAAGTTGGTCAGACTTATAAGATGTTTGATTTGCAGATTGTTCCAACATTTTTATTAGTATTGTATCTGCATCATACGTTGTGTCTGTATTATATTTGCTTGTGTATCACATATAATAATATCATTTGTATAATATAAATGCATTGTTTGTATTGTATATTTTGGTCCACTGTGTGTTAACTTCGTACTTTGTTAGATATTTATTAAGTTTTCGTTTGCTGTCGTGTTATTAGTTCTGTACTTTGTTCATCATTATATTATTAAGTCATTGTTTGTTGTCATGTAGACTGTTTGACGTGATTGAAATTGTTTGGAGTTAATTCAAAGTTTGTGCATAGTTTACTGTTCAATAACAGTATTGTTTTCACAATAAATTGTTTGAAATCATTATTAATATCATATGTGCTTCAGAGACCTGCAGAATCTCATGAGCACTGTGTAAGATTGTAAATCATGTGTTTTATTTATTAAATTTGCTTGAGTATTACTAGTAATTTCTTTTTACTTTGCTGTGAAACTAATGAATCATGCTAGTAAAATGTATATCCAGTGTTGCAATAATATCCTTCTTTAATCATTGCTGTCTGTGTTTGTCTACATTTGTATATGTGTTAAGCATTCAGTAATAACTGATTTATGTCTTCAGATTGAAGCTTTGCATTGATTATATAAACAATAATGTAAAGCAAACAAACAAACAATACATTCATGATATAATACATATATGATGCACCTAGACACATAGCAAGCTGCCTGCAGCCAGATATAATATCTATGCAACAAATATATGTTAGCATAAAACCTCATTAATCTTAGAATGAAGCAATCTAGCAAAAACAAATAACATTATTAATATTACAATATACTTATATATTAATGTTGCATTCTGTAATGAATTGTTTCTGATACATCCTGAGTAACTATGTGATCTGTTGCATTATTTCTTCAATAGCCAACATAATTATCTGTTGTAAATTGTTAGTAATGTACGTTTGTATTATTTGTTATTAACAGTGTTATCATGAATTGTTGTGATTGTGATGTCATGAATATTTATTAGTATTATAGCTATTGTTCTTTACTTTTTCTTTTGTAAAGAATAGTGCATTGTAACACAATCTACATATAAGTGATATATCAGATTATGTTTACTATAATAGTCTCCTAGCATACTTTAGTTAATCTAGTGGTATGCACAATTGTAGTATTTGTTCGACATTTTATTTGTTAATTGATTTGCTAGGTAAAGCATTTTATATATTGGTTTTATTTATTTTATTTGAATCATTGTATAGATATACTTATTAGTATCTATCTGATGTATTTCATAATGTTATAATGCTGTTCATGCTTGTATTAATTGTGCAGTGAGGGCAAATTAATTGTTTGTACAAGAATCAATTTAATAGTTTTATTTGATTATATGTATGTGCTCCATACTTGTTTGTATAGTTATTATCTTTGTATCGTTTGATTGTAGTTGTGAATTATATTGCAATTATATTTGTATTATTGTATGGATATATTATTTATTGTTTTATGTACATTCTAAAGTATTATTTTCGTTATTCATCACTTTTATCCATGAACTATAGTCTGGATTGATGAATTATTTTGTTATATGACATGATAATCGTCTGTATTTTATTTATTTTTGTATTAAACGTTGTTAAGCTAATCGAATTATTATATTAGTATTATTTGTCAAGTATGAGCATTTGTTTTGTAGTGGAATTATTATTTATTTAATGTTGAAGTTCAATTGCATGTTGTGTTGACTTCCATTATTTGTTCTAATCAATGTTATTTTGTGTTGTATTGAATGATTTACCTTTGTGATCCATTATATCTGTCTATAACTTTTATCACTTATTGTTTTTTAGGATCAGTGATAAGATTGACATTTCTGCATCATAAATATTCATTTGTTCATCTGCAGTTTTGTGTTGTGAATGTTTGCACATTTGCTACAAAGAACACTTTAGGAATATGTGCCATTTCTAAGCTTTATTATTATTAATTTATTAATTATCTGTTTGAATAACTTTTATAAGTATTGAAAATGTTATGTGATGTATAACTTTTATATTCTTTAATAAGGTATTTTGCATTCAACAGATTTGTCAGATTCATTGTGGATTTCACTTAGTAATGTAGTCAATATGTCTGTATTAAGAATTCAATATTCATCATTAGTGTGTATATTATTCAATCACTCCCCTTCAATTCTAGAAGGTTTTTCTTTGAGTAATTGACAAGTAGTGTAAGTACAGAAGTACATTGTTGATTTCCTTTTGTGTATTTGTAATTCAACAAGTAGTGTTAGTACTTTGTTATTTTACTTTCATGCATTTGTCAGTATGTGTTATAATATAACAGTATACTTTAAGTTAATTTGTGATGTTTAACATACATCATTTTGTTTAAACATTATACTGTAATGTTGTACTGTTTGTTTTATAAATTTTAATGTGATGTTTGTAATATGTCTGTAATATTTCCGACATGCTAAGAAATCTCTCTGTGTGTTTGTAGTTACAACATCAGTTGTGCATCTATTCATATCTCTGATAAGATGTAATAGATATGCTTGTGTCTGCTTTTCTTTATATATTATACTGTTTGAGATAATGCCTTAAATGTTTTATTAATTTATTTAATCATATTATATTATGATTGTCTTTATTTGTAATCATTATAATAAGTGTGTCTGTTATATTTTTTTCTTTTATTTGTTGTACTAGCTGTATTGGCAGTACTTCACTTACATATAAGCTTTGTAGCTTCAATATAAGTTTATTTATGCTTTGTTAAAGTATATCTTTGTTCCATATGATTAAATATGTTCTGTTACATTGTTTTAGTAATGGTAGAGGTATTATTCTACTGTTTGCTATTATTTTACATCATTATTATATGTTTACACTATTATAGGTGTAAAGTATTGTTATTTGTTTATTGACTATAATTGTGTACTTGTTCCTATACCATAGTTACTGTAATGTACTTTGTAACTTTATTATTATTATTATTATTATTAATTTGTCTGTAGATAGTTGTATACTTTCATAAGCTGTATTAGTGTGTAGATATCAGATGTCTTAGATATCAGATGGATATCCACTAACTTGTTTTATCTCATATCTGACATGTCCAACATATCCAAGACATGTCTTACATTAATTGTTTGGCTGTAATATCACTATATGTGTTATTATTTTATTTATGCTATAATATATATGTGTTTGTTGACAGTGTTAATCATTTGTACTATTGTAATATTAATAGCAGATGAGTAGCATTTGCTTTCTCAATCCTTCTAATGTTTGTCCATAGTATGATCAGTTATTTATAATAACATGATCTCTGTAATATTATAGAATATTTTAGTGATTAAATGTCACAGTAAGTGATACTCATCATAGTTTCAGCACCACCTGCACAGACTGAGTTATTACTAGGCCAATAATCATAATCACTAAGATGACAATCATATAATGTCTGGGTTGTATGTAGTATGGTAGATTGTGTGTCTGCAGTGTATTGATTCGTGTTTAGGATACTCAGACAAGTAAGTTGAGTTCTGTGTCATAGTATGCTGTGTGCATGCATGTGATGTGTAGAACTGTATAGAGCATAGATGTAGTAGAGTGTAGATAAAGTGTAGGCAGGGAGTGCAAGGCTCATAACCTGTTGAGAGAGGTTATGTGAGAGGCTTAGAGGGATCACACAAAGAGGGGGGATAGTGGACTTGGCTTGCTCTCCTTAGTGTCATTGTCTGTTGATTCAGTAGGTATATATAATATGTAGCTATGTCTCGGGTACGTCCGTTGCTTATATGCGTCATTCCATATATGTTAACAAGTAAGCAGTAGATCGAGATCAGCGGCAGGAAGGATGAAAGATAGATGTCAGATTAGAGCATTTCCGGTAGACATTCAAGAAGAGCAAAGAACAGTGCTTGACAAGGAGGTGCACCAGTATAGACAAATGCCAGACGAGTTGCAAGCGTGAAGGTGGAAGTCGATCACGTGCTGGTCGTTCAAAGAACGTTAGCCCAGCCGATGAATCGCGTCTCCGTCCTCAACACACTCCTTCTACCCACTGCTCGTCACTCATTCTTCTAGTTACCTACCTAAAGCTTTCCGGATAATAACAGCCCTCTACATCTACCACTCTTTCAAGAATCCAATCTGCTTCAGAAGTATATACTATGGTCCCTTGCACTAGTAGGACTCTTTTAAAGGGCAAGCACAGTGAAGAACAACGCAAGCATTCCAAGCAAAACCACAGAGTATCCATATGCTCTTCTTCTCCTGAGAAGGAAATGAAATCTACTACCTCAGTCTCAGATGATGCAACTATAGACAACTTAGTCTGGCCTTCGAAGCGTGAGGACTGCGAATGGATGGCTGACAAGGTCTCGCTTGGTGGCAAACATGCAGAAATGGACTCTGAGGCTTTCAAAGATGATATTGTCTCGTATGGAGTTCGTTCTGCACGTGGATCCTCGAAGGCGCGTCGCAAACAAAGAAGCCGCCGGGGAAAAGCTACGAAGAAGGCGAATTCTCATGACAGCGGTACTGTGACTGTTGTGGGAGACAAGACTACCTTGCATCCAAAGACGCGTCAACCTCTTGGCGATATTACAACTGAAACCGAGAGCAAATGTAATGAGACTTCTCCCTCCACGTTCCGACCTGCTTACACCGTTCCGATGGGTTGGCACCGAGCGCTGTTTAACATGCTATCACAGGCTGACAAGGACCGCTCTGAAATCAGCGAGACTGGTTAGCTGTCAATATTCGGACAGTCTCTTACGCATTACTTTTGCTACGGCACGCTATCGTATGCCTTATCAATAATCTTTACTCTGCTTTGCATCACCGCCGACGATTCATTAATCTCCCACACGATACATATTGCATGGATATATACCTACAGTCGCTCTTGGATAGACTTCAATGCAAATGTCTCCTCGCGGATTATCTACGTCATCAATCTGCAGGAACTTGCACACTCCAAAGACCGTTTCATCAATCTGTCTCGGTTACGAATTTACAACACCATTTCTCTCGTGGAATCCATTTGTTACCCGGCTCTGTTGAAATAGAGTGGACATTTCCCTTTGATATAAACGCCATCGTATATCGTAATTCCTGGTTCACGCATTCCCGAATCTCAACTTCACCTTGTTTCTTATCCTCGTATCGGGTTTGTGCTGGACAATAGATTGTAACGGCACTTTGCAAAATGCCATGTCCTGAGCATGGTAAAATCAAATTGATCGAGGAAGACTTGATCACTTTGTATTGCCACCGGAGAAATCCTATCTCTTCTTGGTTGGGCAGTTATCTATACTAGTGATATCCAACTAATAGAATATCTATAGAGGCTTTCACACACTCGGAACTTCGTGCAGAGCGATTAAGTAAGACTGGCCACTGTTCTCGGTTCTTCTCTTGTCTCGTCTGGCGTAGACCTTTTTCCTCGGAATTATTCGGCGACAGCAGATTTTTCGGGTTATACAAAATTAGTCTGTCCTGCGATTTGACCTGTCTCAGTCGGCTTGCCGTGCCGAAATTGGAGCTGTTAAATTTCCAATTTGTGTCTCACCTTCTCTGTTCACTGCTGTGCTGATCTGCAAAATGTCGATCAACTGAGTGTGTATGTTCAAGTAAAAGTACCCAGGGTAGCCTGCATTTTGGAACCCTACTGACTTGACTTAGAAAATGTCTTCACTAGCACCTTCAAGGCTTATCGCCTCAGACGTGCATTGACTTCAGCAAACTATACTCTAACCCGTATCTCGTGCTATTTTTCTACATGTCTCAAATCAAGACGCTCAATACCCGAAAACCCGAAATAACTACATGTCCTCGTACTCTTCGGGCTTTGTGGCGTCCAGTCTGGCATTTTATTGGCAAAAAATCCGCCATTTTTCATTCTCTGATACACTGCCGAGTATGCTTCGCGCAATATTGCATCTACCTTTGGGTACTCACCGTATTGTTTAGTCCATCTCTGAACAAGATTTCTGAAGATATATTTTCAAATTTCAGGCGGGTATGATCGAACCTGCTACACTGGATACTCCATGGTTTGGAGATGTTTGGACGAATGAGTGTACCTCTAAGAAGCCAGAATAGTATAAATTGACCGATGGATTCCTGGTTTTTCTTCATCACCAAGAATCGTAACTCGAGCTATCCTCAAACTCCTCCATCCCAAACCTTCACTTCGCTCCGCTTCACCTCGACTTATCATGGACACCTTTAACACTATCCTCATTACATCCTCTTCTATGGAGCGAAATGCTCGCGTCGGCTCTCAACTTCTACGAACGCAGTCGAGTGATCGCTCGTCGAGTGTCTGCAATACTTCGCGGTCTGCCCACGAAATTCCTGCCGAGCCGTCCGCTACCGATATTCCTGTCAATAATGAGACTGGTGGAAGCGGCTCCACGTATTGCGTTATTGCTTGAACTTACGGGGATCATTGTAAGCCAGACTTGATCGAAATCAGACATTTTCTCATGTAAACTAATATTGGTTATATTTTAGGTAGACATGCCTGTATCAACGCGCATTTTGTGACATACCGAAATACCCTGGGACGAAGCACTTTGGGACTCGAGAGCGACTGCAATTTTTTATTTCTTATTTATTCACATGCATGCATTCCTCATGATTATCATGTATTCTATGTTTTCTGTATGCTGGATGATATGATGCCCATTCTGATGTATATATGCACGGTAGATTACCTGGATTTCGACTTTCATAGTGTTGCCTTTGTAGAGATTTGTATTTCTTGGAATTTTACCATAAAAGGAACCCACTCATTCTGAATGATCGACGCGTGCTTCAAGTTTTCCTCCTCGTACTTATCTACCAACCATGCCACGAGCGACTACAGATCGCTTTTCGCGGGCACATCAATCTTCTGCAAAGCAAAGTTCATCAAAGGCCTCTGGGGATACAAATGGAGTCCGAAATCCGATTTTCAACACTGAACGATTTGGTCAGCATATCCTTAAGAATCCACTGGTAGCACAAGCGTATGTGATTCTAAGCCTCTGGTGTAGGACGTATCTGATGCGGGTATACTAACTTTATATCTTTCCTTATAGTATTGTAGAAAAGGCAAATTTGAGGCCTACAGACAAAGTACTGGAGGTCGGGCCTGGGACGGGTAATCTGACTGTACGAATATTAGAGAAGGCGAAACATGTTACTGCAGTGGAAATGGACCCGCGGATGGCAGCTGAGCTGACGAAGCGTGTGCAGGGAAAGTGAGTTGCCATTTCTCCTACCTCAATTCGAGTGATTCTGACATACGATCAAGACCTGAACAACGCAAGCTCGAAATCATGATTGGCGATTTCGTCAAGGCAGACCTACCATACTTCGACGTCTGCATCTCCAACACTCCCTACCAAATCTCATCACCTCTCGTCTTTCGGCTACTATCACATCGTCCACTATGTCGTGTCGCAATTCTTATGTTCCAACGAGAGTTTGCGCTTCGGCTTGTCGCTCGGCCGGGGACGGCGTTGTGGTCACGGTTATCTGCGAACGTCCAGCTTTACTCCAAAGTGGATCATATTATGAAAGTTGGCAAAAATAATTTCAGGCCTGCTCCTCAGGTCGAGTCCTCCGTAGTGCGCATTGTACCGCTTGACCCACCCCCTCCTGTTCGTTTTGAGGAATTCGATGGCCTGAACCGTATTATCTTCGGGCGACGGAATAAGACTGTGCATGCGACCTTCATGGCTAGAGGTGTTGTGGAGATGCTGGAAAAGAATTGGCGAACATGGTGTGCGGAGCAAAATATTGTAAGCACGTAGCACGCTAATTGGTGATGCATAGCTGACCTTTTCCTGTCTGTTCCGAAAAAGATTGCTACTGACGACGTTGACATGAAATCACGAATAGAAAAGGTCTTGACGGAGACGGGATATACTGAAAATCGAGCTGCGAAGATGGATATTGATGATATACTAAAGTTCGTCTTTTTCATGTTTGTTACGGATTGTGGTACTGATTGGATGGGACTAGGCTCCTCGCTGCATTCCATGATATTGGTGTACACTTTGCATAGAAACTGCCTCTTCCAACTTTTTGTAGCATTCCTGTGTACTCCCCTGTTGTTTCCGGTAATTTATTTCTCGTCTTCTCTAAGCCCCACGTGTTTGTCCATGTCTCTCTAGAAGAATGTTCCCACGACTGCCGCTGCGGATCCCACACCTCCATTCTATGTGAATGAGTCCTGCCTGAAATAGCTCATGCATCAGTGGACGTGTATCTGAAGCCTTCACAGTTCACTGGCAGCAAACTCGCTTCTCTATTTTTAGGCGAGGAAATGCTTTCTCATTTCTGGTCTAGCGCTTCCTCGTCATAGATCATGGGAGCAACGCGTGCTAGATTGTCCGTCCATCAAAATGATTTTCCTTGGATCTACCCCTATACCTGCCCTGTTCCTCGCCGCCACCACGACCTCGCACTTACTAGAGGAGCCCCTCGCGTCGCTTGCTGGTCTACTTTCTTCCATTGTACTCATTGAAGCGACCGAGCGAGGATAATCACAATGCTGTCAAGAACCTTCAACGTCCTCGCCCCTCGTCTTCAAAATGATTTTGTTGAGAGTAATGGGCTATTGGTACCACCTCAGACGACTGGCGGCATATCGAAGAGTACCTCCAGAGCTAGTGGGAGACCGGATACTCGGACGAGTGTCGACAATTCTGTAGCTGGAGAGTCGATGGTTCCGTCGACAACCCCTTTAGCTCAGCCTCCTACCCCTCACTTGAGTTCTGGGAATTCGAAGATCGCTAAGTATTTGTTACCGTCGGCGTATCGCGAACACTTGCGCCTTGCGGATTCACTTCGACTTGTTGTGACGAGGTCTAGTGTGCCATCCTGCCGTATGTGCAACGATAGAGAGTGTTGCTCTGCAACTGATGCTAATTTATCTTTCTGTATCTGGTGATTATAGTTCTGGTCGGCGAGACCAGCCTTGCGTTGTCTACGAAAAATTCCTGGCTTAAACCTGTACTCTGGAAAGGTGCACTTGACAAGGTAGTCATGACATCTTTTTACTACTCGATTATGCGAGAATGCTTAGACTTTCATGACAGCTATTTGCGGCCGAACATATGGGTATGACAGCTTCGCTTTGAACGTATAACCACAACAGCAGTTATTGAAATATTATGAAGGCAATTACGTCATCATACGGACAACTGGGCAAAAGGTTTTCGAAATAATGCCTTTATATGCGCGGATTGGGATGCACCTGCTCTTCTATGGTCCAATTGAGGTACGTCACAGTGAGCTTAGCCATATCTTTTCGTATGAACTATTTTCCCTAGATACGCTTCGTTCGTTGGAGAGCCATCCGCAATCTGCTGAAGACAGAATCGATACGTCGTAAGTCGTATTTTCGAGTTACGCCCGGTGTATGAAGTGAATTGATTTCATACTAGAGGGTAAAATCTACGATTCGACTGACCGAGACGTCGTTCGAGGACAAATTGCGTCATTCATTGAAACATATCATATCGACCTATCTGAACTGGCGCAGCCTGACTTGACTACTTACAAGGTTCGCAAGACGGAGTATGTATGTGTGAATGGCAGCTGAAATGACACGATTTAGACGTTCAATGAGTTCTTTAGTCGAAAGCTGCGACCACGAGCACGCTTGCCTGCCTCTCCCAATGATTGCTCGGTAATTGTGTCTCCTTCCGATTGTCGATTGACAGTTTGGCCTACGTGGGAAAGCTCGAGGAAAATTTGGTTTGCTCTAACCTTCCAGATAACTAATATCTCGGGAATAACTATTTTTTTTTTTGATAGGGTAAAAGGAAGACGCTTCACATTACGAAATCTTGTCAAATCTCGTAGTCTCGCTCGGGCACTTGGAGCCCGACCATCATTAGCCATCTGTCGACTTGCGCCGCAGGATTATCATCGTTTCCATTCGCCAGTCAAGGGTCTGCTGGTATCCACCACACACATTCCAGGCGACTACTACACCGTCAACCCACAAGCAGTCAACGAAGACCTAGACGTCTTCACCGCCAACACTCGCTCAATAGCCGTCCTTCAAGCATCAATCCCTCTAAAGAGTAGCTTATCGGAGTTGAGGGTCGTCCCGATTGTCGTAGTTGCTGTTGGAGCGTTACTTGTTGGGAGTATTGGATGGGATAAGAAGCAGGGTGAGATGGTTGAGAAGGGTGATGGATTGGGGTATTTTAAGTATGGTGGGTCGACTGTGATTTGTATTTTCCCTGAAGGGGTTATTTGGGATGGGGATTTGGTACAGCATTCGGAGGAGGGGATTGAGGTTCTTGTTAGGGCTGGAGAGAAGATTGGAACGTTCCCGTGATGACCATGACGAACTTGCAAGCATCTATTTGGATTTTGTTCAGTATTTCTGCGCAACTTATTTGTATTGGCAATGTTACGATCCTTCATGTTAACGAGTTAGTTATTTATATCAATGTTCGAGTTTTCTTTCAATTCATACTCCTTTTGAGAACGGAAATAAAGTTGTAGGATCGTTAGAGAGTGGAGAGCGTTAGCCAATTTATTTACTTTTTGCTTCCGAGAATTTGTAATTCCGCACGTGTACTGAACGCGTTTAGAACGCGTCGCGCTGCGCCATTGTTTGCCTTTAACCGTCACCATCTAACGCCATCCCTTGTATCTTGATTCCCACTGTCTCTTGCACGATATATCCATACCAGATAGCACTTATCATAACATGTTGAGTCTATTCATTAGCCTTGGCCCCTTCACAAAGCATATCTTCATGTGTTCATAGTAACACGGCGTTTCCAGTGTTCTAACACAACCATAACAAGTTAAACAACTCCAGCAAAAAAATATATCCTGACTCATAGCCTCATACCATGAGTCTAATGGACCCTGGCATACTCTCAAAAACACCCTATCTCGATGCAGTCTCCGCGTCACTACCCTCAGTCTTAAGTGACCTCTTGATAACCTTCGACATCTTCTCACGCGAGAGGCTCGATACGCTCGTTCGATTCTGTGCAGGCGGTGTATGTCCTCCGCGAATTGCTGGGCATGCAAATGCATGGCAGAGTGGGCAAACGCGGTTACAGGCGCGGTTAGCGCAGATCGAGCCGTCGACGGGCGAGAAGCGTGTTCGTAGTAGTATGGAGGAGGATGGCGTTAATGGAGATTATGGGTCATTGGCGAATGGTGGAAGTGGAGGCTCAGCAAGTAAAAAACCAAAGTTGGCGTTAGGAGCAGATGATGGGATGGCTGATACAGAGGCACTTTACACGCTACACTCCCTTTCGATATCTGCGCCCGTTCGAAAGAAAGTGGATATATCAATCACACAAGAAGCGATACGCCTAACGAATCCATCTACCGGATCTCTCGAGGCTCGCATTCCCTTAACGACTCTCAAGCGCGCTTTTCTGATCTCCAACCTCGCAAAGAACAAGAACAAAGAGCAATGGGCTGTGACGCTCATTTCAGCCGATACGTATGACAAAAAAGCTGACGCGGCTAGTCAAGTGCAGTTGACGTTCAACGTTGATAAGACGGTTCCTGGCGGGAAAGATGGGCTCAAAACAACATCTGGTGCTGGTGCCGTGCAGGTGTCACATCCAAAGGGTGCCGATACCCTACCAATACTACGAGAATTCCTCTCCCATCTCCCCTCACAAATCGAACTCCACATCGCCGAGAAGAAGAACTCGCACTCTCAAGCATTCAAGTCAAGTTCAGGCGAACCGTACGTAGACGCATACCTCGGCGCAAAGGAAGGTTCACTCTGTTTCTTACCGAGAGGGATATTATGGGCGAACGCTCGTCCGTGTGGGTTTTATGCACTTGAGGATTTGGCGATGGATAGTGAGGTACCGGGGTTGGGAGGTGTGAAGACTTTGAGTGCGACGGGGAGGACGTTTTCTGTGTTTATTCGGCGACGGGTTACTTCACTTTCACTTTCACTCGACTCGGATGCGAATGTGATTGGGGAAGGAGTAGGGAGTGATTATGGTGAAGCGGAGGAGGAAGAGGAAGAAGAATGCGAAGAAATAGAGTTCGCGATGATCGATGGCCGTGAACAGGAGAACGTTAATTTGTGGATACGCAAATATAAACACTACTTTGGGAAACCTCGCGAGACCTCGAAACAGACGCAGATTCCATTCACAGGTACCTCTTCGAAAGGTGTGGATGTGAAAGGTAAAGGTAAAGGTAAAGGCAAAGCGCGCGTCGACCTACAGGAAGAAGTCGTCCCAGTGGCGAACGATGATGGAGAGAGCGACGCAAGCGACGAAGATTACTCTGCACCAAGCGATTCAGATGGGGGCGAACCGACGAGCGAAAGTGATAACGATAGCGGGGTGGATGAAGCGGGTGAACAGGGGGATGACGAAGAGGAGGAAGCCGAAGAGGAAGCTGATCTATCCGGCGAAGATGAGAATGAGGAGGCGGAGGATGAGGATGAAGAGACGGAAGAAATGGACCTCGACCCAGCAAGACACCTGCTCCTGAGACCAGGCGCCATGCCACTGAGGATGAGTAAAGCAGCTATGGAAGCTGCTGTTGCGATGGTTACGCAGGACTTGGCTGGGTCGGGTGTGGAGGATGAGGATGAAGAGGACGAGGAGGAGGTTGATCAGCTTGAATGAAACTTTGAAAGTATGTATGCGATTCACAGCGGGTCATGGTTCTAACTTCTGAATATCTGTACTGTACAATACGTCAAACGCGTAGCTATATTTTATCTATCCTATGATACACATCGGGTATTGGTATTGGTATAGGTATTGGTATTGGTATCCATATCAGAAACAGAAGAAACAGAATCAAACGACTCAAAACCAGACAAATCACCCAAACTAACCAAAGGCCTCAACCCCTCCACGATCCCAGCTCTCGTCCTAGCCCTAACATCAAGCAACTTCACATGTAACTGTAACGTACCAGCAATGAAACCTCTAGCAGTGATGATAAACAATAACTCATCTCCCCATAACGTAAATTCATTCTGCGTTGACCAGTACCAATCCCCTCTCTCTCCTCTCTCACCTCTTGCAGAGGAAGAAGAAGAAGAAGAAGAAGCAGCAGCAGGTCCAGATATTTGTATAGGTAGCGATTCGTCAAACGGTTCAGGGAACGCACGGTCAAACACCCGCTCCGCTTCCCGTTCATCGTCGTCTGTGCGGGCTCCAACACCAACAAACGCCGGTACCCTCCTCATCCTCCACCAATATGCGAAATGTTCAAACCGTAATCGAGTCCCGTCGATATGAAGTCGAGAATCAGGTAAGACCGAGACGATCAAGCCGTTTGGGTCAGAATCACAAAACTCGAACGCGGAGTAGGGTTGACGTTCGAGTTGGTGTTTTGTTGATGGGGGGAGAGAGAGACGGTAGGAGGCTGTTGTGTCTGTTGGGTCTGGGCGGCCGGATTTGTCTAGGTCGAGGTTGCCGACTAGTCTGATTGGAGTGAATGGATGTTAGTTAGTTGGAGGAAGAGAAAGGCGGGAGAGGAGGAGGGAGAGAGAGTATATGCGGTTGACGAGCGGGATGGAAAGGCTCACTCACTTAAGTGCCAAGTTCCTCGCATAAATAATAACAGGTTTCACAGACCCACAATCAAACGAACAAAGTCCCGAAGTCGTATAACTCACACTCTCAGGGAAATTCCCCTGCAAAACATCTTCAAACCTCACAACACGTCCCGAAAATCCCGTCCAAGCAAAATCAATACCCGGTTGACGTGGAGTCGTCAATTGCGCGTGTAACCGAGAAAGTCCGTAGAACGCTGCGTCTTCAGCGAGGTTACGGAGTGCGGTTCGCATGTCCATCGTACGTGGTAGAGCACGTTCGGCGAGTGGGAGGATTGTGTATCCGCTTAGGTATTCGAGGATGATTGCGAAGAGGTCGGGGTTGCGGTCGACGTAGATTGTTGTGCTGCCTGATTCGGAGAATGAGCCGAAGAAGATTGCGGTGAAGTAGTTTGGTCTGATAAATTGTAGGGAAAGGAGGTTAATTAGGTGTGTTTCCCAATGGAGCAAGGGACAAGGGGAATACGCACGCGTCGAATTCGAGCTGACTCTTGCGCAGTGTGAACTCCTCATCCCGCACGACGATTGTGTATTTTTGAGGTTTTGTCGTTACAGCCGTAGCAGTTGAAAGTGGCGAAGGGGTTGACATGAATATCGAGTGTGGCGTGTATCTTCAGACTGGATAAGCAAGTAGTGTTCGGTGGGTGGGGCCCTTCGGGGGCAAAGAATGGGACGTGCAGTCAAGCAAGAATACGTCCGCAATATATCTGCGAACGCCAAGAGTAAAAAGCTTATTTACTGAGCCACAGGAAGCAGGAAACGAGGTGTCGTCGTCGTGATAGGCAGGCGAGGTGAATAGGAGGAGGCTCTGCCTGGAATCTGAATGACGGGGACATTAGTGGAGGTGTCGTTATGAGATGGACATGAGATAGATCTGACAAGGGGCAGCTGTTCCCTGGCTGGGATGATGATTAAGAGAAGAGAGTAATAGCGTAAGGTCGTTAAGGTATATGATACACGCAGGCAGTAGCGTCTGCTCTATCAACGCCGCAACGCTGTCCTGCGCTGCGAATCAGTACAGCCACGTGATGATTGACACAGCTCCACGTGCTGATCGACATTGCCTGATATGGGTATTACCAATCCCAAGTTTTTCGTCTGCAACGGCTCTGCTGGTCAAACACTCTTTTTCTTTTTCAAGGTCGACCACGACGACCCGTCTGCTCGCCGCTGGTTGTACTCCGTCCATTTGAAAGAAAAAACATGATCCCGCTAGCACGGCGCTCGACGCCGAGGAAGCTCGGGACGGCTTTACTGTCCTGTTCTCGTCAGAGCCTACCTCGGCCAGCTCGTCTCTACTCGACGCCCTCGAGACGGAACCTTGCGCAGGCTCTGGCGACTGCGCCAGCGCCCCGTGTAGAGGACTACGCAGCGCAGATGTCCAGCCCACAAGCAAGCCAAAAGGTTGCTACTGGCTCCGACAGCGTGCTTTCCGACGGTATCCATGATTTTTTGCAGCGAAGGATGACCTACACACTGTTACCTCCTCCCGTACCAGGTGACACGTCGTCCCCAGCAAACGATATGATCTTCCCCGGTTCTCCCGTTCAAGAAACTCTCACTATCATAGATGCATGTTTGCATGACTGTTACGACATCCACCGTGCTCAGTACCTTTTTGACAACTTGCGAAACGGCTCTTCGAGCGAAGCTGTCTTGTCACCTCGTCTGTATAATCTTTTCCTTGAAGCTTATCTCGAGATGGCGCGTACGAGAGATGTTGATAATAGAGAAGAATGGTTAGAGAAAGCTTGGCTTTTGTATGACGGCATGGAATCGAATTGGGAGGCTGTAGCACCGAGTCATGGAACGTATGCAGTTATGATGAAAATCTGGTTGAGGTAGGTTTTCTACCTCCTATCTATTTATACCCATCAAAAAAAAAAAAAAAAATCAACTCGCTCACGCTTGTTATCTCAGTAAACGAAGAATGGGCGTTACTTCAAGTCTCTACAACGAAAAAGACCCATCTTACATGTTACAATGTATGATGGAGCGCAAAATCAACGTCGTCAGCGTCGTAGCAGACCGATCACTCACTCCGGCTGATGCTTCAGAAATCATCCAGGAACTATGTCGTGAAGCAGCAGAGTTGAACTTACAGCACGTCATTAATGATCTCGGGCAAGCACAAGAAATCGCGAATGATCCGTTAGAGGGTGTCCCGGAGGTGATGCCTGTAAAAGTTTTGAAGGTATCTGACTCTTTTTGTATTCTTTTGCATGGTATGCTCAGATAGGGTTTTAAGCACGTAATACCCACCGCGACAGACCTACCAGAAGGTCCAATAGACCCTTCAACAGAAACCGCCGAAGCAATCAAGACACAAGAAGAAGTAACACCCTTCAACATCGCCAACCTCCGAAAACACCTCGCAGAAGTCGCTTACGCCCACCGACTCTTACCCGATGACACAGCAGCACGTCAAAAACTCCTTGAAGCATCAGTCTACGACCTCGCTAACGAGCGTCTCAAACACGAATCAGAAAAACTTGAAGAAGTCGTAGGGAATGAACAAAAGCTCATGTCTGCGCAACTCCAGAAATGGATGTTTGATTGGCATGAGAAGTTGCAGCGACGGTTGACTGCGGAGATTGAGATTATTATTCGTGATGAGGCTTCTGTGGGTGAGTTGTACACTCTATACTCTTTCTCTTAATTATTATCTGTGTAAAATGTACTGATTGCTGGTTTCTTCGCAAAGGCCCCTCAAGGAAAGATTCCAACACCAAAATGCGAATGGGTCCCTTCCTCTCCCTCCTCAAACCCTCCAAGCTCTCCCTAATCACAATCCTCGAACTCATGCGTCTCCAAGGCACAGGAGGTGTAACAGAAGGTATGAAAACCGCACGAGCACTCCTTACAGTAGGCAAAGCTATCGAAATGGAGTATAAAGCTCAGATTCTTAAGAAGAATAACGTGCATGTACCTGTTATGTCTTCGTTTTCGTTGACTGCTGCTGGTGGGGCTGGTGCTGGTGGAGGAGGAGGTGGTGCTGGTGGGGGTGGGATTGGTGGGGGTGGAGTTGGGAGGATTAATGATTCGGGTTTTTTCACGAGACGTGCGTATGAGGAGTTGAGAGAGTGGAGGAAGGCTGCGAGTAAGCATTTTGAGGATAGTCAGGAATGGGCGAGTGATTGGACGCATGCGATTAGGGTGAGGGTTGCGAGTTTTTTGGTTGATTGTTTGATGGATGTTGCGACTGTGACGAGGACGGCGGTTAATAGAAGGACGGGGGAGGAAATGTAAGTAGTCAGACAATCACTTTTCCCCCCCTTCCATTCGGTGTCATACGTCTGTTTGCTAACTAACTGTACACGTTTAGATTTGAACAACAGCCAGCCTTCTTCCAATCTTATGAGTACCTACGCGGTCATAGGCTCGGTGTGATTCGACTCAACCCAGTTGTCGCTGAACGGCTCCAGAAGGATGATATCAGGGCGACTTTACATCCTCGGCATTTACCTATGTTGGTCAAGCCTAAGGCGTGGATCAACCACGATGAGGGCGGGTACATCTATAACAAAAGTAAGTTATCTCTTCTCTGAGGTTTGAACCTCTCTAATTTCGTTATTTTATCTTGTAGACTCCGTCATGCGCCTCAAAGACACCCAAGAACAACTAACCTACCTCCGACACGCCGCCCAAGCCGGTCACATGGAACACGTCTTCGCAAGCCTAGACGTCCTAGGCAGCACACCCTGGGTAATCAACCGAGAAATCTTCGACGTAGTCCTACAAGTCTGGAATTCAGGCGACAGATTCGTCAAAATCCCCGAAGCGAATTACCTAGAGCCCGAACCTGTTAGGCCGGAGAATTATGATACGGATCAGGCGGCTAAGACGAGGTATTTGATGGCTTGGAAACAGTGGCAGACGAATAAGGCGAATAGTCATTCGACGAGGTGTAGTGTGAATTATAAGGTTGAGATTGCTCGTTCTGTAAGTCATAAAATCACACTTTATCTGTTGTTGAATGTTGTGTTTGACGGGCGTTTTGTTTTTAGTTCCTTGCTGATACGATGTACTTCCCACACAACATCGACTTCCGTGGTCGAGCCTACCCCATCCCTCCACACTTAAACCACATAGGAGACGACCTAAGTCGAGGACTAATGAAGTTCGCAGAGAAAAAGCCACTCGGTACTTCAGGTCTCCGCTGGTTAAAAATCCACCTCGCAAACCTCTCAGGGTTCGACAAAGGCAGCTTCGAGGAGCGCGTACAATTCGTTACGGACCACATGGCTGATATCATCGATAGCGCGGAGAGACCACTTGAGGGTAACCAGTGGTGGGTTAAGGCAGATGATCCTTGGCAGTGTTTAGCAGCTTGCAAGGAACTGCATCACGCTCTCGAATCTAGTGATCCGGAAGGATACGAATCGAATTTACCTGTTCATCAGGACGGTACATGTAACGGCTTGCAACATTACGCTGCTTTGGGTGGAGATGCGATGGGTGCCCGACAGGTGAACTTGGATATCACCGATAAACCTTCTGACGTGTATACACACGTCGCAGACATGGTCGAGTTGAAGATCAAACAGGATATCGAGACGGGGAATAAGTACGCTGAGATGTTACAGGGGAAGGTCTCACGTAAAGTCGTCAAGCAAACAGTCATGACTACTGTTTACGGTGTCACCTTCGTCGGCGCTCGCGAGCAGATCGAAAGACAACTAAAAGACCGCGGTGATATCGCTGCACACGAAGTATGGGGCGCCTCAGCGTACCTAGCAAAATGCGTCATCGCCAGTATCGGCGACCTATTCTCCGGAGCAAAAGCCATCCAAACCTGGCTCACAGTCTGCGCTCGACTCATCGCCAAGTCAATCCCTAAAGAGCGTATCGACGCTGCTATCGAAGAGAACATCCGACGAGAAATGAAAGCTGCCGAAAAAGCCGAAAAGGCATGGAAAGACGTCGACAAAACCATCACTCGGTTCAAACAAGCACGCGCTCTCCCCTTCTCTCGATTACCAAAGGAACAAATGACAAGTGTAGTATGGACGACTCCACTAGGTCTACCCATCGTCCAACCTTACAGAAAAACAAAACGTAAACAAGTAATGACGAGTATCCAAACAGTCTTCATCTCCGACCCTAACGCTCCCTCCGAAGTGAACACATCGAAACAAGCCAGCGCGTTCCCACCCAACTTCATTCACTCCCTCGACGCAACGCATATGATGCTCACGGCTTTGGAATGTAACAAGGCTGGATTAACATTCGCGAGTGTACATGATTCATATTGGACACACGCAGGCTCGATAAATAAGATGAACGAGATTATTCGAGAGACGTTCATTGCGTTACACGAGTCGAACGTACTTGAACGTTTGAGACAGGAGTTTTTGGATAGGTATAAGGAGTATCAGATTCCGTTGATTTCGTTGAGGAGTCAGTCGATGCTTGCGAAGGTGAAGTTGAGTAAAGCGGATTTGGTTGCGTTGGGGAAGGTTGATGCGAAGGCTGCTGCGAATGTTGCGAATGAGGTTGAGGAAGCGGAGTCGGATGAGGAAGTTGCGAAGGCTATTGGTGCGCTTCCTGAGGAACCTGATGCTGTTGAGGACCATGAACACGCCATAACTCATCCATCCTCATCCTTATCTGGAGTAGAGACAACGGAAAAGAAGAAGGGACGAGGAAGGAAAGCGAAAGTACCTACGGAATCTGCAGAGGTCGCAGCGCAGAAACAACCAGAGTACGAGTCCCGGTTCATTAACCTTGTCGATATCCTTCCAACTCTACCGAAGAAAGGCGAGTTCGACGTACAGAAGATTAAAGATAGCAAGTATTTCTTCTCGTAGATTTCGCAACTTGTCAATGACCGGCTGGTTGGAATTCGGAGCTTTTCTCATCACCTGCACGTATCGACGCCCTTCGCTCGACTCGATCTTGGTCTTGGTCATTCACCTCGGATTCGTCAAATCAAATAATCGCACCCATGTATTGCTACCCTTCGCTATTCAATATTCTACCCTCAACATCTCCCTAGTCTCACCGCACATCACTCTTCTCAGTTCCATGACATACCGATACTCCTATCCCTATGTTTATTACTCTTCACGTATTACTTTCCTCATTCACTCCGATACATATTTTCATTTTCATTAAATAGATAGAAGGCAAGCTAAACGAAAAACATCCCTTATTGCACATCCTGCATCTCTTGTCTCTCACCTCACCCTCATATACTTACAAATCAGTCTATTTTTCTCCCTTGTGAACTTTCACATGTAGATACGTCGTGTCCTATGGTGATTGTAATAGGGTAGTTGGCGCACTCTCTTTCGTCGAGAGGTGTTAATTGAGTTACAGCTTACATCAGACAGAGTGCTTTCATCTACGCCGAGTGGCACACTACACAGCATCAATGCTGAACAAACGTTCTTTGAGCTGTACAATCAATCAGCAGATCCGACAATAAAAAAAGAATTTGATTGTTTATTTCGACGTCAAGGTTACAAGACGCAATAAAGCTTATAAAACTGCTTAAGTTGATGCTTATACGCCGGGATTCGTGCAATAATATGCAATGCGAGGAACATGAACGTCCGATCTGATGAATTAACCCCAGGAAATACCAGCAAACAATACAGCGGGGCCAGTGAGATCGCTGACGATGGGGAAAAGGCGAATAAATAAATGCTCACGGGAATCCAGACCGAGGATCTGACGCCCAGCCATTCGCGCATTTTACGTCGGTTTCGAATTCTCGAGCTCTGCATGCTCCTTCTCGAGCTTTGCCTGTAAAAAGAAGGAGCGAAGAATTCAATTTATGTGATCAACAAATCGAGGTAGGGTGTACGCACAAGTTCAGCCTTCTTCAGCTCGATCTACTCCGCGTTTTCAAAGGAAGATTTTGCTAGTTAACCATTTTTATATGTAAGTTAATTGAGAAGATACTTACCTCTGCACGTATCCTCTTCAACTGAAGAGCCTCGTGTTGCTTAACATATTGATCTGAATATTTAGAGAGAAAATCCATCTGTTATTCCTTTGTCCACAGATTTTCGTTGAAGTTGGGAGCAAAGAGTAGGACATGCCTTCGTGTGCCTTCTCTTTTTTCCTACATGGTGACGAAAAAGACGTTTAGATGAAACATGACGATAAGAATAATGTGATAGAGAAACGAACGAGAACTCCTTAGACTTCGCTGTTGCGCCCTCTTGGTAGATGGTTCGTGCGAGCGTGAGGCGAGCGAGGCTCGGAATGCGGCGAGATGTTATGGCGCGAACGGGGAGCATTTTCTTGTGATTTGATTGTGAGGAGTAGTTGGTTATTGGTCAAGTCAAGACAGACGAAGTTCACCTCTGTCGGCGAAACGAGTGCGTACGGAGCGTGCCGGGTGTGTGATGTACGCGTGACGCTGAACTAAGCTGTCACAAGTACATATAGTCACGCTTCATTGAAACGAAAATTCCAATGCGTGCAACGCCCGTTCGTAATATTAATAAGTAAACATTCACTTTTCGTTATATTCTGTATTCACATGAGTTTATCCCGTAGGTTCTGCCTAGTTAATCATCCCGTGAATCTGTGCTTTGATGACTCAGACGGATATTACTCATTCCAAGTCTTAACTCCACTCCGAATAAATCGCCTAGGCAATTCCTTTCCAGAAAGTGCGGTATCATCCAACATACATATACAAGCATCTGTCACCTTATCCAAGTCCTCATTATTCTTCACATTGTACCTCCGAAATATGAAAAATCGCGTTCAACTTCGGTGGAGTCCGCTGTGATCCATCGTCTTCACATTGAGCAATCCACTTTCCCTACCAGGGTTGCTAAGCTAAACCTAAATTAATAAAGCATTGAGTACCTACTTTATATCCGTGTCCATTAATGAGCACAGTTCGCAAGGATGTTTTACCCTGAGCCCTTTCTAGTAAATCTTTGTCAACTTTTGGCATAGAGCTTTCTTTTAGATTGACGATTGTGAACCGTATTTCTCGTAATCTAGACGTGGAATTCATTGGATTCGTAAACATTTCCTATATTAGTGTGCAGAGGTTAGTCTATTGAAGAGGACGGAAAACGTCATGATTGTTAGACATACGAAAGTTTGTTTTCTGACGCATATATCCACCTCTTCAAGTATTTCAAAGCCTTCTCCTTCTTTACCGAACATTTTTCTAAACGCACGCTTCCCAATATACGCGCTAGACAGTCTTAGGATTCGTAAGGTTTCCCTATGTCTCGAGATAAGGTGATCGATTAAACCATCGTGGCTGATTGCATGTCCTAATAATCCCTTCCTATATCCTTTCTGGCAGTTCCTTGGATTCTCACATGCGACATCCAGGACGGCGAGCGGTGAAGATGAAGTTATCCGACGTATCCAAACACACATGTTCAAGACTTCCTTCCGGGAAGCAGTATGTGCATGCCTCACTTTAAATGATTCCAAGACGCGTAAACGAGGGAGAGTCGTGCCGGGTATGAAATTTTGCTAGATCAAGGCCGAAAACAGAAGGATAATCAGTCATTATCAATGAAGGGTTCTTGCACAGCGAACCGTACAGTATAGTGGTATAGGTCGAGCCTGCGAAGCTTGGACAGCTCATTGAGAAAAGGAGATAGATCGTCATATTTCAGCGAATACGCTACTCCCAATCCGAAATGTTCCAGCTCCTGAGAAACCGGAAGTAGAGAAGTCAATATCCCAGGCGTGACGGATCCGCAGTCATCCTAGTTGTAGGGATTAGTAAAACATCAGTTAATAATTTTGCCGTTTCGGAGAAACGCTGCAAACCTCCAGGCAAAGAGTATGGAGTGGGTGCTCCAAAGCTCGCAGTACGTCTGGTAGAGGTACAAGGACTTCAGGTGTAGGGCTCGCAAGAATCAGACTGTGAAGCTGTGTCAGCTCCTTCGGAGGAACCGGGCAGAGCAGAGTGGGTTTTGTCTTAGCGCTTTCATCTGGGTCATCCTGGATGCAAGTATAAGCAAGGAACGTATAGAGCTTAAAAGACAGAATCACTTCGAGCGGTTTATATTCGAAAGGCTCTGCATCCTCTCCGTCTGCATCGGACTCATCTTCGATTCTATCCAGACTTTCCAGATCTCCTTGAGCCTGCTCATCACCCTCTAGTCCTTCATCTTCTTCTGTAATGGCTTCAAGGCTCTGAGCAGGTCTAGCAGAAGCAGATTCCGGAATGGGCGGCATAGAGAATGGTACTTTGATCGATAGCATCTCCAAACTAGGTAATTGCGGTAGCAGATTCACGACGGCCATTGCAGCTTCGGTGTCGGAAAACATTGGTCTCCAGACAAATGAACGCAGTTTTGTATATTTTGGTAGGATCTCTTTGAGCACATCGTTGATGGGTCTAAAATACGGTCCAGGGAAAATAAATCCTGCAGTGTATTGTGGTGTCCAACAATTAGAAACAAAAGACGACAGCATCCATGAACATTTATTGGAAGAGTCTGACCGGTTAATTCAAAGCTTCGTACATATTCTACATTCCTGGGCAACAGCGAAGAGGCCAACATGTTTCTTAAGCGATCGTCTGGTACTATTCATGCATTTGAGTTGATTTCTTGATAATACACGAGGATGTATATCTCTTGAGAAAAGAAGACATACATACTACTTTATTGTCCATAAATTCTCGCAAAGTCTCCAGATTAGAGCGTGATGAAACAGAGATCCTTTGGTATAAAACATGGCGAGCCGCGGTGCTGCAAAGTCTGTTGACAAGACCCAGAGCATAAAGTGTGCTCTTGTCCTCGACAAGATTTTGTGCTATTTGGATCAACAGACACTCATCGAGCACAGAAAGGGACCAAGCTACAGTCATGAGAATGATGAGGTGATAGATCTGATACGATTCGTGCAACGGACGTTCGTTTGCGTAGACCCACAAAACGAGTGATCGGCGCGATCGACAGTTGCAACTTCTTTCTCTATTCGACTTCTGTAACCTGCATGCTTACAGATGCATCCTCGGGCGTACAACTTTGTTCTGCTTCTTGTACCTCAAACTACGCTTTCCTGCGTGTCCTATGTTTTCACTGCTTTACTTGAACTGTTGGGTCGAGCATTCTCCACTACGCTCGTAAGGTGTATACGGATCAATTTCAACAGAACCTGCGCACTTTCGTTCGTGCATGCAAGAAGTAGCACACATCCGACACGCATAACGATCAAATACACGTCACATATGATGAACAGGCCTCGACAACATAGTAAATTTAGAATGTAAGGTGCGGAAAACGTGGTCCACTGTTCACCACTGCCAAGTCATCACTGATTCCTACCCAGACGCAATCAGGCTTTGCCCGGCTTTATAACCTGCTTGGCGGGCCAGATATCTTCGTGTACCAAATTTGCTGTAAGAGCTGGTCGACCGGTACCATCTCCCTGTTTCGATGACCACAGTCAGAAATAACGCCAAAATCTGATAAAAGTTGCTCACAATAATGTCATGAGGGAAACCCGGCTCGAACGGTATGATGCTTTCCAAATACTTCATCTGTTCTTCCGAAATCAAGATCTTCAGAGCCTCAATGTTTGCCATCAAGTGCTCGACCTTCCGACCTCCAATAATAGGAAACACGTATGGCGTCTTCTGCATTACATATGCAATCGCCACAGCAGTGATATGTTCCGTCCCGACTTCCTTCGCTACCTTTTCAAGTGCCACGCTCATTTTCTTCTCATTCTCGTCACGCTTCCATTCTGCTCGGAGAATGGTGCGGCCTTTCTCTCCAGTTGCTGCACGCCTTTCTTCCTCTGCGTCAGTCCGGAATCGACCAGATGCAAGGACGTTCCAAGGAGCAAGGGCCAAACCGTGTGCACGCGCCATTGGGATAATTTCACGTTCGAAACTACGATCCATCACATTCCATGCACCCTGATATATCACGAACGGCGTTTTTCCGTGTTGTTTCGCATACATATTTGCGTGGACGACGACCCAAGCAGGTGCATCGGAGATCCCGAGATAGAGAACCTTTCCTGAAGAGACAAGATTGTGCAGAGCATCCATGACTTCTTCAACGGACGTGGTGAAGTCCCAGAAGTGGATGTAAAAAATGTCGATGTAATGAGTACAAAGTCTCTTAAGACTCTGATCGACATTGATTCTCATTGATTTAGTGTTGTTACCGTAAAAGTTGACTTTGATACCGAGGTTGTTCTCGGTAAACGCTGTGTCCATCATTGTATACTACCGAAAATACATTCAATTATTCAGTATAATGCGGGAAAATAGGCGCCTTACCTTTGTCGCGATGACAAGCTGGTCTCGAATCCCACGTTTCTCGGCCCACTCTCCAATGAACGACTCAGATGTTCCAGATTGACTTGAAATCAGCATAACGGTCAGTTGATTATGTGTTGCTGTGAATTAGAATAAGTACTTACTAGACGTTTGCAGTGTCAATGAAGTTTCCTCCCGCTTCGAAGTACGCATCAAGTAGCTTGAAAGACGATTCCTTATCCATCGCGCCCATGCCAATCTTATGATGTTGGTCACCGATGTTGCCCCCGCCGAGCTGGAGTGGAGAGACTCGGACCCCCGCGAGAGGGGAGAGGACGCGGTAACGTCCAAGTGGCGTTGAAGGAGGTGGTGCAGGTGCGAATGACATTTCAGGCTAAAAACTGCAAAGTGTCTGAGGAGAGAGCTGAGCTGATCCAGAGATACATAGCAGGGGACCAATTTATGGGCTGTTCAAAAGCTCTAGGTGTGGGATGTGATGCGCGTAATTCGATGGGCCGCGGAAATATCACCTATACTCGCGACCAATCTTTCTTACGAGGACTGTCTTGATAGCTAAGCAGAACTAATTTTGTCGGAAAATCTTTATCACCTCTTGTAATCCAATTTACTCATCGGAGTCTCCACCACAGTGTACTGGTAAAGTGTCATATTAGGTTACTCAATGCAAGGACAAAAATAAAGCACCGTTCGACACCAACAGCAGCTTAACACCCCCTAAGGTCAACTGGTGAGATCTATATGCTTATACAAATGGACACAATTCTCCCAGCTATTTGCGACTAATATTAAAATTATATAGTCTTGCAAGTTACTTGGATTCACAGGGCCGGATCCAGAGCATTATGCGTATGGAAGCAGGTAAATATATTGGCGAGCCGAATGTGACTGAACAAGAAGACTTTGTAGGGCAGAGTATGCTGCCTCAAACGCCTGTGAGTCTTAATACATATATCCTAGTGAGCTGAGATGAAAAATCTGTACCACTCACCGTCCCGAGCGTCATTGACATAACACAATACTAGACCCAACGGTGAAGATACACAATAATGTTATGAGAGTAGTAGTAAGTACCCCGGCTCGCATAGTAAGATGCTTTCCAAATGCCATTTTTTCCTTCCGAAAGCAAGATGTTCAGTGCCTCAATATTAGCCACCAGGTGCTCGACCTTCCGGCTTCCATTGATAGGAATGCACATGGAGTTTTCTTCGTCACACATGCGATCGCTATAGCAATGATATGCTCGGTCACGATTTCCTTCGTTACCTTTTCAAGTGTCACGCCCACCTTTCTCGTTCCATCCCCAGTCTACTCAGACAACCGTCCGACTCATTTCGCCAGTTTCTACTCGCCTTTCCTCCTCTGCTAGAAGCAAGGACGTTATAAGGAGCAAGGCCTAGACAATGTGCCTGTGCCGTTTGAACAATAAACGTTCGAAATTACAAACCATGACGTTCCACGCACCCACCTGTCAATTAAATTTCAAGGAAGCACCGTTTTGGCACCTTCTGGCAAATTTACAACTTGTAACCTTCTAGCCATGTCATATTAAGAGACACAAAATTCTTTGGCAGTGGTTTGTCTTCTCTGATCAAAGAAGTCGGTGGTATGGACAACTATGATAGTGATAGGAACCATGGTTTGAAAACTTTATGATTTCTGCTTGAAATTTTCTCCTCCAAACTTTTGCCATACTCGTCTTCCCTGCTATGTTTCGAACCCATGCCTAGAGGAAAATAGTATTCTAACAATACTAGCAGGATGTTTGATTGGTTTGGCATTTTGATGAACAACAGATGCTTTACTCTGTAGTTGTTACATTAGAAGTAGGATGATTTTTAATCCTAAGAGGACTGTACAAGGATCACAGAGAGCTTCCTTGAATGGTTTGAAATGTTGGATGTAGAGATGAGATGGATGAAGTTTGGTTAATTGTGTCATTGTCTATCTGAAAATATTACCCTGCATTCTAGGGCTGTAACAATCAGAAAGATGAGCTTAGATCTTATGCTAGAGCCTAATACTGTAATATATTTGTGTTTTCCAAGAACTGGGCTGTGTTCTTGATTGAAACTCTCAGGCATGTTATTAGAAAAGCATTTATGAAAACAAGGACATTAGGTGTCTCTAGAGTGTCTAAAGCCTGTCAGACTATGTAGAATTTTTCTTATACAATTACTCTTATAATTTGTTTTTCTACTACTTAGTTTAAAGAGTAACTTAGCTTTTTACTATACACACACACACTTCTTTACAAATGTAATTTTAAACTAAACTTACACTTTACTTAGTTTATACTTTAGTATTTCTATTTTCAATCTATTACTCAAGCTTTTTTAAGTACTTTAAAAGTTGACTAGTTCTTAAAAGTCTTAATTCCTTTTTTACTATTATTTTATACTTTTTAAAATAACTCTTAACTTACTTTAACTACTTTATTACTATTTTATTATTTCTCTCTTTTTTATTACTTTATCTTTCTTACTTTTTTTTCTCTTACTATTTCTGTAAAACACATTTGTTACTATTCTTTACTCTCTTTCTCTCTTTCTCTTCTATGTGTCAGCAATAGTGTAGAGGACCTAGAGGCTCAGCAGAGGGACCCAAGCTACAACTATCCTATACAACAGAAAGGTCAGGATGTGAGCACCAGAATGAATGTAGAACTTGTAGATTAATCAGACAGAGAGAGTAGGACAAGTATAGAGTATATATAAGATATACTCACTTTACTAGTCCTAATCCTTAAGAATAGTAACAGAATAGAGTATAAAGGGTAAGACTTGTAGACTTGTAGAGTGAGAGGGTAGAGGAGTCCTGCTTTAGTCAAGCTGTAAGTGTAGCCTAGTAGGTTGATAGTAGAGTACTTCCAAGTACTAGGTAACTTAAGTTAATAAAACTATCTTTTGAGGGCCAAACTGGCCTCCTTATATACCTTTTGCTAGAGTAATGTTACTCTAGTGACTTTAGTAACTCTCTTTACTGTTGTTCTTATAAAGTAGAGCTGGCTAATCCTTTAGACTATATGCTACACTAGTTTGTGTCTTCTATTAATCTGCTAACACTAGTTTGTGTCTTCTTGTATTCTAGATTAATCTTCTAATGACTCCTTTACTGTATTATTATGTTTTCTATACTTTCTCTCATACTTCTAATGACTACTTATAAGTCCTTCTAACTAGTTATACTGTGTAAGCTGTGTAATACTTTTCCCATAAAGTAGAGCTCTCTATTGTTCTTATAACTCTGTCTGACTTAACCTGTACTTCCTGTATACTGGTTTGTAATATACTTTCTTATAAGGTAGAGTATTATGACTTCTAATGACTCCTTATGACTCTTGTAATATAAAAGGCTGTACTCTAGAACTTACAACCAAAGTTCTAGACTGTTTTGTGTACACTCTAGAACTGACAACTAATGTTTTAGATCTTTCCCTAAGTCTTCTTTAATAGACTTAGTTTAGGAGACAATTATCCTTATTAACTTCTAGCCTTATCTTTATACTTCTGTATTCAATCATAAAGCTTACAACTAAAGTTCTAGATTGCCTCATATATTCCTCATGTTGTCCTCATGTAGTCCTTATGTTTATAACTTCATTACTTTCCTATCTGTATGAGTAAAGTGTATAAAGGAGACTACATTCCTGTAGTCTCTCCTTAGAGCTCTTAGTTCCCTTTCCTTCACTAGTACTAGTCCTCCTCAAGTATAGAGCTTCAGAGTATTGGCTCTAGCTCTTTACTAGCTCTAACAGTCCTTTGTCTTTGTACAAAGAGTTCCTAGCTAGCTATATAGTTTCTCCTTAAGTAAGTATAATATTTTCCTTTTATCTCTTCAGGTTTTCTCCTAGTCTTTTCCTTTATACTTCTTACTCTAGACACTATACTCTTTCTAGATCCCCTCTCTATACAAGCATTCCAAATAACTTGTCTTTAGTTAAGGTTATTAAGTAATACTGTGTTAGAGTATGTGTTTAACCTTAGAGAGATAAAGACCTTGTCTTTAGATTTTGTTACCTTTTCCTAACTAACTTAGTACCTACTCCTTCCTGTCCCCTCTCTCTACTAATAGATTGATCACCTATTAGTAATAATTAGAGGTTAATAATGCTGAGCTAGAGTTCTTACTAAGTAGGACAACAAAGGTAGCCTAGTTAATCTGGCTAATCTCTAGACTTGTAACTAATAGGGTTTTGTATATAAACTACTTGGTTCCAAGTCTTGAGTTAAGCTTTTCCAAACTTAGTTACTGTATTTTACAATTCCTAACAGTATATAGAGTAAGTCTAAGAGTACAGGACTACCTAGAGTAGATAAGATTAAGACTATAGGTCTAGTCTAATCTTATACATGTATATATACTAAACTACACAAGAGTACTCAGGAAAGGATAAGCTATAAAGAATAAAGAATGAGAAGGTTAAAGATATACAAACAAATAATAAAGGGATGAAAGAGTAAAGGGTAAGAGACCTTAGAATGAACAAAGAATGAAAGGGTAGACAAAGGAAAGGGGAAATAAGGTAGAAAGGAATAGTAGTAAGGGTTACTGTGTGAATCAGTCTGTATATAGTTGTTAGTGTTTTGAGGTTGTAAAGTTCTCTAAACAATAGGAAACATTTGTTTGTAAGTTTGTACACTACTCACAATAATACTAAGAGTAAGTCACACAAGTAGAGGTTTAGTAGACTCTACTCATAGTGTGTAGGTGTTAATACAAGCTGACTGTGTGTATGTTCTGATAAGCTTCATTATCTATAAATTAAAGTAATATATATATACTATCTAATATTGTATATCTCAGATGTATGTCTCAGAAAACATGTCTCTGTAATAGCATATATTTGTGAGACATTTGTGTATTTGAGACATATGATACATTTATCCAAAATAAATGTTAACACTCCCCTTCAAACTTATACTAGTTAATCAGGCTAATATAATGTTTGACATGTGTTTGTCTATTGTTTTTGTTGATATCATTTATATTTGTAATGTAAATGTTTTACTAGCTTTGTATATTAAGTCTACTGTAAGTGTTATATTTGTCTAATGTATTATTGTTACATTCAATATAATAAATCGATTGTAAGTTCAATTTTGATTGTTAAGAGAGCTGCAGAATCTCTTTAGCATTTGTTCATTCATAGTTTTATTATTATTACTATTATAGTTGTTACTATAATGTTTTATCATTTGTATGATAGTAGTTTTTCTTGTCCATAATATAGTATGATATGATATGATTTTGTTTCATTTGTTTTTCATGTCATATTGTTTGTTTTGTATCATAGTATGTTTATTTTATTATACTGTGTTGTTCTGTGTTTGTTCTGTTATTTGTTCTGTTTGTATTTGTATTATTATA